CACCGTCGTCAGCGCCATGGTCGCCGCGTGGCCCGCCGACGCGCTGCTCGCCGCCGTGGCCGCCGCCGCCGTCTTCGGCATCGCCGCGCAGTACGCCGTCGACAGGGACGACGTGCGCGGGCCCGGCACGTTTGTGCCCGCGTTCCTCGACGAGCTCCACGCCATCACCAGGGCCACGGCCGAGGGCGACCTGCGCTGGCTGGTGCGCGCGAGGGTGCAGGGCGTGCTGGTGGAACAAGACGACGAGGCATGATGGGGATGGGAAATGGAGAAATGTCTGTTGAGCTCCGGAGAGGGGTCATGAGTAGTGGACTGGATAGCTAGATAATGTACAGATACAGAAACTCCATAATACCCATCATTTCAAGCAAGATTCTCAACGTGGTAGCTCCTGCTAGCACAGACAAAGATAGCTGCCTCGTTAAAAAACAGACAAAGTAGCTGCCTCGTTAAAAAGCAGACAAAGATAGCTGCCTCGTTAAAAAAAAAAAGAGACGAGATAAATTCCCAACTACAACGTGGTGTCGCCACACCAACAACTTGAATACGCCGAATCCCAATGGCTCATGAGAGGGCCAACAACAAATGCCTTGCAGTCGCTAAAATTATATCACTCGCCAGTAGTGTATGCCGAATATAGTCATCCCATCAACCCGCCGTGTGCCCTTTTCTTCTACCCAGACATGATTTCGTCATTCATGTTCCAGGCCGTCTCGTTGACAATGTCAAACCATACGGACTCGTCGAGCTCTCCTAGCAGGGTCTGCGAGGATCCCGGTGGGCCCGGAATACCCGGCATGGCCGCGGCCGCCGCGGCCGCCGCGCTCATGTCGCCCGAGTGGCACTGGAGATTGACCAGCTCCCGCGCGTTGAAGAGCAGGCGGAGGAGGCGCTCCCAGGGGTCCTCGGCAATGGGCGCGACCTTGCCGGGACCACCGCCTGGGCCGGCAGTCGCGGGCTCGCCACGGCGCTTCTCGATGATGAGGGCGAGGTCGTTGATCTGCCAGTGAAGCATATGGGTGATGGTCAGCTCCGAGGCAACGTGCTTGGGGTCCCAGCCGGGCAGGCGCAGCATCATCAGCTTGATGCTGGTGATGAGGCTGTAGGCAATGTCCGAAGTGGTCAGGTTGACGTAGCGCGGCTTGTCAATGTCGCGGTGCAGGAACCGGTTGCGGAAAAAGGCGCGCAGCGCGCGGATGCACGACCACAGCATCTCGAGACGCGTCTCGACCGGCATGCTGGCGGGGCCGCAGTGCTGGTCCGACAGGGCAATGTCGGTGAGGAGGATCTCGGAGATGAGGAGATGGCCGCATAGTGACGCTGTTTTTAGTGGTTAGTGAGTGAGAACTGTATTAGATGATTGTGAAACGTTGACGTACGGTCATCCTCCAAATGCTTGGGTAATGTATCTCGAAAGTTTTTGATTGTTTGTTGGAATGTCTGCACCATGACCGGGATGGGGAGTGGCATCGGCTGCCTGGGGTTAAACGACATGTTGAGGGCGATGGTTTGAGCAATCTGCTGCGATTTGACGAGTTTGATGAGGAATACATCGGATGGGTATTCGGCGGCACCCTCTAGCGTCTTGAGACAGAGATCGACGTGAGATATATTCATAAACACATCATTCTTTTTATTCGTCGCAAAGACGCTGCCAAAAGCGCCATGTTAGCAGTGTCCCGCGACCTCTATCAGAAGGGAAGCTGTTCGCGAACCAGACGTACATTGTATTGATATAATATGTGGCGGCGTAGGCGCGCAGAGGATCCAGCTGGGAGTAGCGGGCGTCGCTCGGCAGCGGGTCGCAGCTGGGCGAGCTCAGGTTGACGCACATGGAGCGGGCGAGGAAGAGCAGGCTGGTCAGCTGGTGGCCCTTGACGGCGTACTGATACCAGGCGATGAGCAGCTGCATGCCCTGGAGCAGGTCGAGCGTCTTGACACCCTCGACGACGGCGGCGCGGGCCATGTCGGAGAGCATCTCGCCGCCGAGGCCCGTCTGGCGGGCGGCGTCGAAAAAGGATGCCGTCAGCATGATGCCCTTCCACAGAAACGGCCGCTTGTCGCGCAGGTCCTCGGATGTCATGTCGCGCGGGACCACGATGAAGGGGAACGTCTCGGCCCACAGCGCATGGTACTCGGTGAGCAGCGTCGCCGCGTCCTCGGGCAGCGGCCAGATCGAGTCCATGTGCTGAAAGGCCTCGGCCTCCCAGCCGGCGCGCGGCGCGGCCGGCGGCGACGCCGACTTGTCCTTGTCGCCGGACGAGCTGGCCGTGTTGGGGAACCAGTGCTGCAGGTTGACAATCTCGACTAGATCGCTCTTGATGTCGCCGCTGCGCGCCGTCCGGGCGCTCGACGTAGCCCGCTCCGACGCGGCCGCATCTTCAGGCGTAGGGAGTCGCGCGTGGCCCTGTCCGACCTGCGAGGACAGCTCATTCAGTCTCTTCTCCAGCTCCGCGACCCGGGATCGCTTGGGCCGCTTTTTGATGCGCGGCGGCGCGGGCGGGCGGGAGAAGCATTCTTTACCCAATCTTTGACATCTACAACATGTCGGGATTCGTATCAGTATACTGCTTCATGTTGATGACCTTTGTTTCACTCATCTCATGCCCTCGCTCATCGCCGGCGGGGTCAAACCCACCACGGCATTTTTTTGACATGTGATGGCCAACAAAGCGACTCAACAAAAAAAAGAAAAGAACAAGAGAATGCTCACCTCTCGCACTTGTCGGCGTCTGTATTGCCGGGAATGCATCGCGCTTTTGCTTTTGCGCATGTTGTGCAGGCCTTGGGGCCCTTTTGCGCGGCCTGCATTGCTTGCTTGCTTGCTTGCTTGCCTTGGCCCCGGGACGGTTCAGTGTCGAGTCGATGTCGTGGGTTGGGTGAGCTGCCGCGGCACTCTATGTAGGTGATGGATGATATGTATGGGGATTATCGGCCGAGACCAGGCGACATTTGTCTGGGGACCAAGAGCCGATTTTTTAGTAAGGTAGAGAGTTCACCGGCGCCCTCGACGAGTGACAACCAAGGCAATGCCGGAGGAGTGGGAGAGTAGAGAACGAACTCGCGTCAAGCGTCGAGCGGAAATGCGAAAATAGAGACGATAGACCAAGAGAGAAGAGCAGGGAAACAAAGTCAGGCAAAACGGTGTGTGTATGTGTAAAAGCCCACCTGTCCGTGGACGGCTGAAGGAGCGCGATGTATTGCCAGGATAGCGTAGCCCAAGTTCCCCGTAACTAGCGACTGGGGGTCTTTCTCCACGCGGATTTGGCTGTTTTTCTTTTCTTTTCCTCTTTTTTTTAAAGTTCCATGTAGCAGCCAAGAGCGTCCAGCGTTGCGCGGATGATTTTCCCTAACAAAACTGTAGACGTTGACGGCACGCCGGGCTGCTGGGACCGAAACCCGCCTTTCCCCAGATCGGAGCTAGTTGTAATTCGTAGTTGTTGGAGACTGGTAAAAGGGCTTGTTCATTCAAACGTGGCGGCGCTATCGTGTAGAGAAGAAGACGCAAGTAGCCGACAAAGATAGGAGGCCGTTGGATGTGTGTTCTCGATTGTGTCTGTTAGTGCTGGCCAAGGTTTCAGGGGCAAGTGTCCTTTTTCTCCTTGTTGTCAATTCATAAACAACCAGCCGGGAACCGCGTACGCCTGGTACTAAAAATGACCCTATTTCTGGCCCTTCTCGCCCTTTGCATAGTAGACACTTGATCATGCCCAGGCGATGGGAGCCTATTGGTAGGGCAGTTCCTCGGCACGGACGACTAAATTAGCCCGTGTATCCGTGCCTCCCAGAGGTGTCTGGGGGCAGCGTCGCTTTTTCCGGGGTCGCTGAGGCTCTCTGTCCATCGTTAGTTAGACTTTGCCTGCCGCTAACGTCGAACACGGGGTGACCGCACACAACCCCCTAACAACCGCACAGCTAGGGCCCACTTATCATTACCTAATTAGGCTAGACTAATTAGGGTTATACCCTAGTAAATAGATATTATCTTATACTAAATATAGGTCTAGGTAGATATAAATAGCTTATATTATATTAATAATTAGAATATTTATTCTTTTTTTTTAAAAAATACTTTTTATATATAATAGCTTTTTTATATATATATATATTATTTTTTTTACTTTTAATATCTTTTTATAATAAATTAGATATTAATAAAAACCTTTATTTATTTAAAAATAGCTTTTTATTAGTTAAGGCTTTTACTATATATAAGGTTTTTAAATTAACTTTATATAGTTATAAATAAGATATAGACTTTTATAAATAGGCTATATAAAAATAATAAGTAATTCCCCTTTTTTAAAAAACTTATCTAGCTAATTATATTATATATTAAACTAAAATTAGTTTAGTTTTATTTTATAAGTAAATTAGGATACTTATTATATAGTATTATATTAAATTAGGCTATTAGTACTTTCTTAATAAATATTAGCTAACCTACTTTCTTTAATATTACTTTAAAATAGTAATAACTTAGGTTTAGTTAATTAAATTAAATTAGGCTATTAATATAACCTTTATAAAGATCTTTATTTTTTTTAACTAATTATAATATCTAGATTATAATAATATATTTAATTTAATAATTTAAAATATAAATAAGATAGGTTTATATAAAAGACTAGGTCTAAATAGGTTAGTCTTTAGTTAGGTTAGTTAAAAGTTAACCTTAGTTATATAACTTAAGCTAAGTAATTAGATTATAATTTTAAAGTATATTTTTATAGCTAGGGGGTTAATTAATTTAGTTATTCTATTTAAAGGCTAATTAGATATTTAATAATACTAATTTAAAAAAAAACTAGACTTTAACTTTAATTAGTCTTATAAAATAACTTTAAAAGGGTAAATTAATAATTCTATTATAATTAATTAACTTATAAAGTATTTTAACCTATTTATATAACTTATTAACCCTTTATAAAAGTAATTATTAATTTTAAATAGTTATAATAGCTATTATTAGCTTTATTTTATATAGTTAGCCTTTTAATTAAATATTATATTATTATATTTATTTACCTATATATTATATATTTTATAGCTACTTAATATAGAGTTATTTATACTTTTTAAATAAAAATACTATTTTATTTATTTAAACTTAGCTTAAAGTATAAAACTAGCTAATTAAAAGGTATTATTTATTAAGATATATATAATTATATATATTAATATATTTACTTTAAAAAATATATAAAATAAATAATAAAGAATAAGAATTTAACTAATTAATATATTAATACCTTTTTTTTATATACTTATATTTAACCTATATATATTTTATAATAAGTTAATTATATTATTTAATAATTAAAAAAGTATTAATATTCTTATTAAAACCTTAAAATTATATAAAGACTTTTAATAAGTAATATATATATATAAATAAAGACTTACTTTAACTAGCTTTTTTTAAAAACTTAAAAAGTATATAATATAACTTTAAAAAAAGATAATTAACTTAAAAGAAAAAGTAAAGTATTTATATAATAATTTTAAAGTATATTAGCTAATTAAATAAAAGTAAATCTATATTAACTTTAATTAAAAATTTATTAAAATAATAAATATTATTAAAACTAAGCCTTTTTTAATAATAACTTTTAACCTACCTTTAAGGCTTTTTAATATATAATTAACTAAATTTAATAATAGGTTTAAAGTATAAAAGTTAAAGTATAATATAAGTAAAAATAAGGATAACTAATTATATTTTAAGTAAGAGGTAGGGGATTTATAATCTATAGAGATAGAGTTCTAGATCTAGTTTAGCTTTATATATATTAATATATACTAATATATACTAATTTTTCTACTATACCCTTCTTAGCTATGCGGTTGTTAGGGGGTTGTGTGCGGTCACCCTGTGTTTGACGTTAGTTAGACTAATCAATCATTCGGCTAATGGCCTCACGGCCGAATGTCACCCGTCTCTTGCGTCAGCTCACTGTGCCCTTCAACCCTTCCAAAGTCCCCTCCCATCGCCTGTCTTGCTCACCCCAGTTTATAACCGGCCTTGGCTGCATGCTTGCGCTTCTAGAAACCGGCCCAGGTCAAAGCCACATAGCCACATGTTCCAACGCCACCTAGTCGCTCTGGAATGCTTCATGCTTCAGCAAGAGTGCTGCCTGACTTTCAAGGCAGAAACCTGTACAAAGTCAGAGATTGCTGTTCACCCTGCATCACTGGCTACGGCTGCAAAAATGGTACATACCTGCATGCTGCCATCCACAGCCCAGTCTTTTCCCCAGACTCGGTTACGCATGGCGTAGCCGTAGGCCGAGAGCTAACGCAGCCCGTTCCTCAGCCCGCACTTACGAAGAGAGACATACTACTCCGCAAGCTTGCCACCTATGTCTACAACAGTGACCCAATTGGCTCCGTCAATGCCGAGGATATGCCAAAAGGACCAAACATCATCAACAAAGTACATACGTACACAGGCTCGCGTCCGTGTGCATGTCACGTCACTTGGCGAGGGCCTTGCCAGGCAGTATCAAACTTTAGTCTTGAATCGGGGACGCGTTCAGTGCATCACATGTTTATTTCATCGTTAGGCTCATGCAAGCCCCAACGGCTAAAAAATGTAAAATCGTTTAAAAAAGTGAGCAGATGTGTTGCCGAGAAACCCGGCGCACATCCAAGTAGAAGGAAATGAGGTTAGACCGCTTCGCTGATCATGGTAGTTAGAGTATGCACAAGTACTGCCTCTAGGCGACCGCCACGCCAGCAGCCCGGGCACCGGCCGACTCGCGCTCAAGGAGCGCTTCAGTGAAGCTTGCGCCGTTCTTGACCTGTCCAGTGGCCATCATCTCCTTTCTAGCTTGCTCGATCCCAAGCTGCTTGTCGGTCCAGAGGGCCTTCTCAGCAACTCCCTCCTCACCAACGCCAATGAAGCCACCTTGGGCAGCCCACTCCGAGGTTCTCTTGATTCCAAGTCGGGTCCAAATCTCATCCACAGCAGCCACCAGCTCGTCGCGGTACTCCTTGGTGTGTCCAGGCGTGGGCGTGATACGGAGGCGCTCCTGTCCCACCGGAACAGTCGGATAGTTGATGGATTGCACATAAATCTTATAATCCTTGAGAAGCATATCCGAGGCAGTCTTGGCTAACTCGGCGCTGCCAACCAGGATGGGAATAATATGAGACGGATTCGGCATCACGGGAATGTCACGTGAGTTCATCTCCTCCTTGACGGCGCGGGTATGAAGCTGCTGCAGTCTGCGATCACCGTCGTATTCCATCTGGTACTCAATCGACGCCTTGGCACCAGCCATGGTCGCCGGAGGCAGAGAGGTCGTAAAGATGAAACCGGGAGCCAGAGAGCGAATCATGTCGACAAGCTTCGCGCTGCCGGCAATGTATCCGCCAACGCAGCCATACGCCTTGCCTAGAGTCCCAGTGATGATGTCGATGCGATTCATAATGGTGCCGCGGGGCATGCCCTCCTTGTGCGCTTCCCAGTCGAGGTGCTCGGCGACACCAGCACCGTTCGGACCGTACATGCCGACGGCGTGAACCTCGTCGAGGAAGGTAATGGCACCGTACTTGTCGGCCAGATCGCAGATAGCCTCGATAGGACCGATGGAGCCGCACATGCTATAGACAGACTCAAAAGCAATGATCTTGGGCACGTGAAGCGGGAGCGACGCAAGCTTGGCCTCGAGATCGGCAACGTCATTGTGCTTGAACACAATCTTCTTGGTACCGGAATGCCGGATGCCCTGGATCATGGAGGCGTGGTTCAGGCTGTCGGACAAGATGACGCAATCCGGGAGCTTGCTGCCGAGAGTGGCCAGGGTAGCGTCGTTTGCGACGTAGCAAGAAGAGAAGACGAGCGCAGACTCTTGGGCGTGCAGCTTAGCCAGGGTGGCTTCGAGCTCGACAGCATGCCTGTTGTGGCCCGAGATGTTGCGCGTGCCGCCGGCTCCGGCGCCGTACTCGTCGAGAGTCTCGTGCATCTTGTCCAGGACGACCTTGTTGCGGCCCATGCCGAGATAGTCATTGGCGCACCAGACGGTGACCTTTTCCTCCTTGTTGGCCATGTGCGCGCGGGGAAATTCCTTGGCAAGGCGATTGATGTTGTTGAAGTAGCGATACGACTTATCCTTGTGCTTCTTGTCCAGCTCGGTGGTGTAGAATCCACCATAGTCGAACTTGGTAGCGTGGTTCGGGTAGGCAGCGGCGGCGGCGGCGACGGTGGCTTCCTTGCGGTGGGCCGGCATCTTCGGCGGCATGGGCGCTTTTTTTTTTAAACCGTGTTAGCGTCCAAGTCGTGCAATTGACATAGTGAGAGCATGTTATCGAGGGGACGAGGTCTTCATACCATTGTCACGGCCGTTGAGGAACGGCGTCTCCACGGCGCGGGCTTCCTGGTTGCGGCTGGTGTGGATGCTCGCGCGGCCGGGTTTGGCGTGGACGGAATAGGCGCGGAGGCCGGAGAGGCCGGCGTGCTTGGAGGACTGCACGGCGAGGGCCTTGCCCATGACAGGGCAGCGATGGGCGTAGACCTGCAGCTTGGACATGGTGCCGCCGCAGGGCGATGACGGCTGGGGGCGGGCCATGGTCGACATGGCGCGGAGGGTTGCGGGGGAGGCGGTCTTGAGGAAGGGGCACATGGCCTTGGACTGACGAAGGACGTGATCCATAGTAGCGACGAGCTTTGGTTTCGGTTTCGACGACGAAGAAGAAGAAGAAAAGAAAGTTCGGCGGCAAGCTTTCGAAATGGCGAGGGGAGTGGGTGGCACTGGTCAACAAGTTCGTCTCAGTGCGAGGGCGTAGCGTATGTGTGTGCGGGGGGGCAATTTTTTTTTATTCATCAACCAATGGCAGTATATTGTGCTAGAACAGAATCACACGCCGTGCTCTAGGAGAATGAGGCGGGTGACGGGAAAGAACAAGATAACAAGGGGACAAGGGAAGAAGAAGATGTTTGTCTCGAGGGAGATGGAAAAGAGAGAAATCGGTGGAAGAAGAAGGCAAAACGGCAAACGGAGTATGAATGTGGTGCCAGCGGCCTGCTTCATCCTAGCGCCCTTTCCAGTGCGGCGGAACCTGGCTGGGCCGGTGCTAACGTGCTAATAAAATTCACTAAAGTGCTAATTAATAAATTCATGTACCTCTGTGCTGCATGTTCCGAATTCCGAGCCCTCTGACTGGCTGGCTGGACCCCAGTTGCTGCTTTTTTACCCTGCCTTTTATTTGCTTCCCCTCCTCTCTCTGAGACCGCACCGCCTGCTGCTGCACAGGAAAAGAAAGAAAAAGAAGAAGAGACCAATTTTTTTCTATCCCGAGTCCCTGCGCGCCCGTCCGCCATCCGACATGGCGTGTTGCGGACTCTCGTCTCCGTTTGCGCTCTGCGCGCCCTAAGTAGAACCACTTGCCCTGATGCCCTGATGCCCTGAAACGCGGGTCCCCGGCGCTCGTTCGCTGTTCGGCGTCATCTTCGGCGGCACCGCTCCGGACTCGGCCTGCAACGTGAGTGGTCCACTCATCGTACTATTCAACTCGGCTGTGCATCTTGACAGCCACGAGTCAACAGAAAACAGAAACATGTAGTTATGGCAAATGTCCACTCAAAGCGGCAGTCCATCAATATTATGCATCATCAGTCCACCCATCACCTCGGTCGCATCGCACTACTGACCGGCCGTCTGGGGAAATATCAAATCTCTCCCATCTCATTGGCCAGTCAGAATACCTAGCCACACCTTCTTTCAATGAAACAAATTCGCCATTGACTGCCAATGCTAAATAAGCTAGGTATCCTGAGTATGCAAATGCTTTCTCTGCCAATCGTCAATCAGAAGTTTGCCCAACGCCAATTCATTTCCTAGCCATGCGCCATGCTCGCCAATCTCATCCAAGATTCGTCCTCCCGGATCATTTCACTATTCCAGACTCCCATCACAAATAAGCATACCATTTCCATTCGTTCCGCCAATCCCATCCATTCCATCCATTCCACCCATTCCACCCATCCCACTTGCTCGTTGTCATCGTCTGCTCAGCAAACTCTCTCCCAGCCGCCCCTGGCCAGTTGTGCCACCCAAAACTTTGCTCGCCCATGATGGAAGGTCAGGCCCTCCCTGCGGCCGTATATCAGGCCGCATATAATTTCGCGCTTCCGTTCGTTCGCCGTTCCGTTCGCCGTTCCGTTCGCCGTTCCGTATTGCCGATGCCCGTCGCATTACAGCCGCGTCCTCCATTGCCTGCGTTTTGTTAATGCTACTATCAACCCACCGGCTCGGCGATCGCATAATGTTCGATAGGTTCTTTGCTCGCAATGCACGTCAGTCTTTGCTTTCTTCTTCTTCACGTTGGTCATGCATGTGTTCTTGCTCCGCTTGTCGTACCTCCGGGTCCTTTGGTCTGCCCCCTGCTTGAATCATCTCCAAGAAATAGTCGGTTGAGAGCTCCTCTAGCTTTTGAAAGCGGCTCTGCATCGCCTCGTCTGACGCGGTGCCGAGGTATTTCCCTGGGAGGTGGCCTGATGATATTGCCAGAAGCACTTTCTTGCTCGCAAGTTTGCCAGTGAGCATATTCCAGCGTAGCTCATCCGCTGGAAGCCCTTTGTTCAGCTTTGTTCGTTCAAGCTCAATCTCAGTTGTAATGGACAACGCCTTCTTCTCTGCGTCAAACCGGCAGTTCGGAAATTGTACCTGGGCCGAATGTAGAGACATCGTCAGCTGTCGCTGAAACTTCAGTTGTGCCTCTCGCCGTGACCCCTCGCTGAACGCCGATGACCCGTTGCTGCGATTTGAGTAAGTCGGAACCACTGGAAAGCCGCCGCTATTTCCATGGTATGCAGGCGAGCCGAACCCGTTGCTGCCCAAAACAGGTGAGTAGGTTGGAACCGCTGCAGTACCACCGCCATTGCCGTGGTTTGCAAGCCCGTTGTTGCCCAACGCAGGTGGGTAAGTCGGAACCGCTCCAGAGCCGCCGCTGTTGCCGTAGTAAGTGTTAGCTCCTAGGATAGGCATTGGTCCGGATGAAGGCGTCGGTACTGGTGCCGTGGGCACTGAGTCCTGAGGCGCAATGTGACTATAAAGCGTTGGCGTTTCAGAAGTATGGTCAGGTCGCCCGGGAAACCAGTCCTTGTTCGGTTTACCCGAGGCAATGTGCGAAACGGGTCTCTGGTTGCTCGCTACCCTCTCTGCTTGCATCACCTGGTTATACTTTTCTGGGTCCATCATGCGCAAGTGGTGTCGCTCAACCATGCTCGCAGCTTCCTGCCGCTCCTCTTCTGTCAGTGCTGCCGTCTGGTCTTCTTCCTCAAACGTGTCAGACGACATGATGGAGAGGATGGCTCTGCTGTTGTCATGATCCAATATGTGGTCAAGGACGATATCCTTTCCCTTGAACGCGAATCGGGCCTCGGTGGCGTCGACATCTTTGATCGGGTGCAACAAATTTGCAAGTCGCTTGGACCAGCTGACAACGTTCTTTTGGTCCACGACTCGAGATGCTAGCTGCATTTTGAAGACTGCTTTATTCTGAAGATCGTCTTCGAACGAGCCAGCGACCACGAAGCGGTAAACAAACACTGGCTTCGTCTGACCAATGCGGTAGGCACGGCCAATGGCTTGTTGGTCTTGAACAGGGTTCCATTTGAAGTCGAATATGACGACCCGGTTCGCACCGTAGATGTTGAGACCAACGCCGCCAGCGTTGGTCGAGATGAGATATACCTCATCTGAACCCGTGTTGAAACGCTTTACCATGTCTTGTCGCTTCGCAACCAGGGTCGAGCCATCGAGTCGACAGAAACGTCGACCTTGGTGTTGGAAAAGTTTATCTAGGTAGTTCAATGTCGGAATCGACTGACTGAACACCAAGACCTTGTCGCCAAGCCGGCTCGATTGGTTCAGAATTTTATTCAGGAGCTCAACCTTGTTTGAAAACTCGGTGCGATTCAAGTCCATGTCATTGGTAATTTTCATGATCTGGGGTATTGTTTCCATGGGGAATTTCGCGACAGCTTTCCCGAAGCCCGCCTTCGTCCTGAGATCAATGACTGTCCTCCGATATGCCGCCGGATGGGCGCAGATCAGTGCTAGATGGTTCAAAACGCCAAACAAGCTGGCTTGGTCGAGCTTGTCGCCACTGTAGTGGGCAGCTTGCATGTAAAGGTCATACAACTGACGCTGCATTTGAGTCGGCGGAACTGAAATGACGAATTCTTCCTTGGGCGGAAGTTCGTCCTTGAGGCACGATTTGATCGTCGCGCGGTGAACTTTGGGTGCCGCAGTTGTCTTGAGGACCTGGAGCAGCTTGATGGCCCGTCTCTTTTCGGCGGTGGTAGAGTCATGATAAAGGCCCTGGTGAATTGGCGCGGCGTACATGTCGCGGAACTCTTGCAGTGGACCCAAGAAGTTTGGAGCAACCCAATTTATCATCGCGTAATACTCCTCAACATTGTTGGCTAGTGGTGAGCCGGTCAAGGCAATCCGGGTGCTGGTCTTCAGCTCCGAGGCGACTTGCGTAACCTTGGCTCTTGGGTTTTTCAGAGTGTGAGCCTCATCCGCTATGACAACCGTTGCATTTTCGACAAGAATTCGGTCAATTGTTTGGTCGTCATCAAGGCCCTTCCTGAATCCAGACTTGAACATGTTGTACCCGGTGATTAATACGCCCCCCTCAGAGGCCCAGTACTTGGCATTGTCGATTCTCTGAGGACTGCTCTGATATGCCTCAATGGTGGTGATGTTCTTCATCAGGTGTTGAGGGGCCCAGATGAGAAATTCATCTTTCCAGTTTTCCACGAGACCCGAAGGGCAAAGGACCAAGACTTTCCAATCGCGCAAGTCCTGAGGTATTTGATCACGTATTGTGGGGTCGTCGGAAAGCGCAGACTGTCGCAGCGCGACTAGAAATGTAATTGTCTGCATTGTCTTGCCTAAGCCCATGGTGTGGGCCAAGAGGCAGCCTTGACGCTCACTTTGTTCGCGTACGATGTGGTTCCATAGGAATCGAACACCCTCGATTTGATGATCTTTGATGCGAAGAGAGATCTCGCGGTGAACATAGATGAAACCTTGGTCCTCCCTTTTGGATTCATTGATGATAAACCGGGGCGATTCGGCGGAGGAGGCGTCGTAGGTGTTATTATCTCGCATGGCAGCGCGTAGCTCATTTCGACGCCGTTCCTGTTCTCTCATGTCTCGTACTGCGCGCTCACGGAGCTCAACACCACTTTTGTCGAGGATGATTTCCTTCTTTTTGGTCTTCTTGGCTCCGGCCGCGGCATCGCCAGGCAGTCCGTCCAATTCAACGAGCTCATCATCATCATCGTAGTCGTCCAGACGTGCAATTTGATTTTTCTGGGGGAAGAGATCCTTAATACTGGCAATAAACCCGCAGAATGGGGGGAATGATTCCGACGAGTCTTCCAGCTTGTCGATATCCTTTTGACTCATCTTTTCGAGCTTCTGCTCCTTGTAGTATCTGCACTTTAGGAAGCTCAAATAAATGAGCGTCAAGTCAAAGAATGAATCTATAACAGGTGGGTCGTCAGCTTTGAACCTGCCGTCAGCTTCACCGACTAGATCCGACCAGATCTTCGAAACGGTGGATCCAGCAAGGGACTTGAGGACTGCTTCGCGTCTCTCGAAATTGAGTTTCCAGAGAATAGAGATGACAAGACGGAAGCGGTCCTTCTGCTGGGCCCAGACTTTGGGAGGAGTGCTGCCAATTTCTGCTAAACTGTCTTGGGTAAATGGATCGAATGTGCGAGGCACTAATTTCTCTTCGGTGCCTTCCATTTCAACGTCGGAAGCCACCGTCAAGTCAATAAAAGAATCAGCTTGACTAGCTGCAGGTATGCTTAAGGAAGAAGCAGGGCTGTGTGGCTGATTCTGGATGGAGTTTGCAGGTGGAAGCTGGCGAGGCGAGAGAGCACCGCGCGGTGATGTGGAGTTGGCACGTGCAGAATCCAAGTCGTCTTCCTCGATAAAGTTCTCCAAAGGCTCTTCTTCGGAGCTCGATGAAAGCTCGTCGTTGTGGATGAATTTTTTGGGAGGGTGAGAAAGCTTTTGTTGCTGTGATGGTGGAGGTTTTGGCGGTGCACTCCGCAACGAGAACAGCTTGGCGAGCCACTCCTGGCGCAGCTTATCGAACACCGTTTGCTCGACAATGTGCGTTTGGAAGCGCAGTTCCTCATGCGCCTTCCACGGCAGCACTCGCAAATCACCAGTTAACCTACTTAGACGATTGCGATAATGTCTTGCCTGCTGCTGCGCTTCAAGAGTCTGTGAGCGCAGCAGACCGTGCTTTCTGGCGTGAGTCCAGGAGCGATAGGCCTTCTTTTGATGCTTGGGAAGTTTCTTTTCCTCCCACCGAGTTTGGATTTTGGAGATTTCGTCGTTGATAATCTCTTCGACTGTCTCAGAGCTTAGCAAAGAAGAGTTGGCTTGCTTATTTTCCTCCTCTTCATCCGCTATCTCGCGAAGAGTATCCTCATCCAAGGAAGCCAGGTCGTCCAAGTCGACAACTTCTCGGCCTTCATCGGAGGACGCAACGGTTTTGACTCCAGACTGAATTCTCGCGACTTTTCTGTTGTTTTTAAGAAGATGCTTTTTGAGGAGGGAGTATATCGCCTTCGTCTTGCCTCGTGGTTGTGACGTCACTTTTATTGAGGAAAAACCATCAGAATCGCTATCGGAATCTGAGTGCACCTGAGGAATGACGCACTCCTCTGCCACAGCTTTGTTTCCTAGGTAGGCGGTGGACAAGTCTTCAGAAGAAGCGGCTCTAGGGATTTGTGTCTTCGGAAGCTTTCTCGACTCAGGTTCTTCGAAACCGGGCATGCGCGGTACAGTATCACCCTGTTGTAGATCCGCAACAAATGTAGGGATTAGTCGGCGGCGTTTTAGCGGAGGATCGTCTGACTTTGCTGGTTCTTGAACGGCCGCAGGTTGTTGCTTAGCAATATACGGGGAAATTTTCGGCGTACTGTGCAGCGGCGATGTGGCGTGGGCATTCGACGGTTCAACGGAGAGCGAGATGTTTTGCACTTCCTCATTTTCAATTTCCGTTTTCGCCTGGCGAAAGCTCGGGCTTCGCGCCTGAAGATTCAGAATCTTCCTGATGAACTTAGCCCGGTGCCGAGCCGCCGTAATGCCGAGGCATTCTACGAGCTCCTTTCTTGAAAAGGTGAGCTCGTATGTGAGCAGCGTCTCTCCGTCGATCAAGTTCTCCCGTAAGAGCGACTCAAGGACCGAGGTATCATTAGCCCACTCGGCGTCTTTCGAGCAAAGCTCTTTGCAGACCCTGTCAATGTCCCAAAGGAACGGATCTTCCGACGTTGGCTGGAACATGGTGATCTTCTTGGCCGGGCAAGCAGCAGTTGAGTGCCCCCGTTTCCTTGCTGTGGCCTTGTTAGAGAAAATAGGGACGGCGAATTTTCGACAAAGTAGATGTAAAGCTGCTTGTCGTCGCAGGGGTTATGGAGGAGTAGAATTAGCGTACCATTAGCGGCGTGATAGAGGTGAAGCTATCTTCATTACTGCAAAGCACTTCCAGGATCAAAAACAGGAGTCGGGACGGTAGTGGTGAGACGATTAGGGGAGGTTTACGCTGCTCGGCCAAGGTGAGATGCAGCGACTTTGAGTGTTTGCCATATGTTGTGAGAGATGATTAGGAGAGGTTTGGCATGAGCTGCGAAGAGGTCAGGTGCAGTTGACTTGGAGCGTTTGCGCGAGGCGGCAAACCTGCTGATACGTCCGGTAGGCTTCTTCGTTTCTCACAGTAATATACAGGGCACAGGCGAGGCAAATAGTCCAGTTCCCCCGTTTAAAACAGTCCGAGCATAAATTCGTCGCGTAGAGATGTATGTCGTATTATCAGGCGAAGCAAATTAACCTTGAAGTCGTCGCAAAAATTGAGTGGGTCGGTTGACAATGTACGCGCTGCAACGCGCCAGCTGGGTCTCAAGGGGTGGAAATAGCGGCGCAAGTATAACAGAGGCAGGGGTCCTCGCAGCTGTCCATTTATTTATTCTGGAAATGGCTCCTTTGAGGGGGTACGGCCGAAGGGGAGCTGACTTTAATCAAACGCCCTTACGTTTTGCAGGAGGGTATACACACTTTACTAAGTGCATATTTTGTTTAGGTAGATATTTATTCCATCTACACGGCTTAGTAGGGTCCAGGCTACAGATAGAAAATGCTGATAACCCCTATAAGTACTATAGTAGGGGAGATATCAGCGCTCTCTATATTTTAATAATGTTTTGTACTCTTTAAATGCATAGTTAGAATCCACATTCGCACTGATCGAATTCTGACTAACGCGCCCGCATGGTACATACCTATCTAGATCGAATGACAGACCAAGGGAACATAGGCGGAACCGAAATGACCCTTGTAGCCAAAGATGGGGTTCACTCTAATTTGTACTTTGCGACTTGAGCAAAGATGCTATTTCTCCCCGCACATTCAAGAATCCCCATCCGTGCCGCCAAAAGACATCTACATAAACGTTGGTGATGTAAACCAGCCAGTAACTAGTGTCGCAAGCGAATAAAGGCGCCACTAATTGCGGAGGTGAGCGAGTTGTGGCGATTAATAAGCTACTGCAGCACCACAACGGAAGCTGATGGAGCTCCTTGTGCATCCCTCTGTAGCTTGACCTTGAAACCCATTTGACGAGATTTGTGCCGAGCCAGCGAGCTTCTCCCCATTCGAGCGTCTTTTCAAAATTCGGGTCTCGACCTGGTCATAAAGCGGAACGTTGCGTCATGGCCGGCATCACCAGCGCGGCGTACCCGCCATCGCTCTCCGAGGCCGAGACGGAGGTCCTCGTCAACACCATCAAAGACTGGTCCGCGGGCAATGGCTTGGTGGTTCGACCGCCGCCGACTGTGATCCCGGCAGAAGTCGACCCCAAGGGCATCGCTGCCATCAATGCGCCGGTGACGCTGTTCCCCAGTCCCTTTCCCCGGCAGTGCTTTGCCCAGGCTCTCGGTGTGCAGACTACCTACAATGAGCTGTACGCCGCTGTAAGCAGAAACGAGGAGTTTATCGAAGGCACCGTCAAAGAGTACGCACAACAACGTCGAGTACATGGTTGCCCCGGAGCTCTGTGAGCTAACATGTACCAGAGTCATTGAAGGAGACGAGTTCATCAAGAACTTGTGGGCTGTGCACCAAAAGGTCAAGGCTGAGGGATACACACAGGTGAGCCTCAACTTCGCTGGTTGTGAACTAGATTCTCATACTCGATAAGTCACTGTCGCTGGGTATATTCCGCTCCGACTACATGGTTCACCAGGACACTACGGCGGACTCGCCGACATTTCAGGTCAAGCAAGTCGAATTCAATACGATTGCCGCCTCATTCGGCGGACTCTCATACTACACATCCCGCCTACACAAGTAAGTCGCACCAGATACCTACCACGGTGCCTTTTTCAACTATACTAATGCATGAGCAGATATCTTTCCACGAGGGAGTACCCGCTCTTGGAGAAGGCCATTCCGAGTGACGCGATGGAGCTCCCCTCAAACAACAGCATCCCGGGTCTGGCCGCTGGATTAGAAACGGCATTCTACGCATACCCTGCCTCTGAGCTCGGCCACCCTAACTGCATTCTGTTCCTGGTGCAGGACGGCGAGCGCAACGTTTTCGACCAGCGCCACATTGAATACCGTCTCGCCGACGTCGCGCCCGCCGTGCCCGTCTTCCGCCTCGCCTTCTCCGCCATCAAGAAGCACACGGCCATTGCCGACACGCCCAAGCGGCAGCTCCTGTACCACCCGCCGCAGTGCCCGGACAAGACGTACGAGGTCGCCGTCGCGTACCTGCGCGGCATGTACGACCCCAGCGACTTCCCGGACCAGGACGCGTGGGACGCGCGCTACCACATTGAGCGCTCGGCGGCCATCAAGTGCCCGACGGTGCTGACGCAGCTGGCGGGCACGAAAAAGGTCCAGCAGGTGCTGGCCACGCCGCAGCCCGCGTCCGCGCCGCCGTCGGTCCTCCACCGGTTCGTCAAGGACGCCGCCGCCGACCAGGTCGCCGCGCTGGCGCGCACCTTTACCAACATTTACCCCATGGACACGTCGCCCGCCGGCCTCGAGGCGCGCCGCAGGGTGCTCGACCCCCAGCTGGCCGAGGCGTACGTGCTGAAGCCGCAGCGCGAGGGCGGCGGCAACAACATTTACAGAGGCGCCATCCCGGCCTACCTGAAGTCGATCCCCGAGGCGCACTGGAACTCGTATATCTTGATGGAGCTCATCACGCCGCCGCCTGTGTCCAACCTCATCTTGCGTAACGGCAGTGTGGAGAAGGGTGGCGTCATCTGCGAGCTCGGCATTTACGGGACCTGCTTGTGGGACCAGCAGACGGACGAGATTCATCACAATGAGCAGGCGGGGTACCTGCTGCGCACAAAGGGTGACAAGAGCGAAGAGGGCGGCGTGGCGGCTGGTTTTGGCTGCATGGACAGCTGCCGTCTTGTTTAGACCGGGTTCTTCTGTAGCAGGCTGGACTGAAAGAAGAGAGTGGGATAGGCAGCTTTTGTCTTGGGACAGAATTAGAGTGGTGGTGGCTCTTTATTACATACATCCAGAGAACAAAAACACGTCGTCTTTAAAGTTGCGTCCCACGGCACTCAACAGCCTCAATACACATCCCGGGTATGGTACATATATCAAAGTGACATTATTCCTGACAAAAACAAAACGCGACGCCTTCTTCCGGAGCCTGAGTGGAGTTGTACACTGTTGCGCCAGCATGCCACACTGCGCTACCATCGCGCGTGAGGGATGCGCTTTCCGAGCCAATGTGAATTTACTTAGCTGACATCAGAGCCGTTTACTCGTTCTGGGACTGGGGACGTCTGAGGACCTCGATGTTGCCTGTAGAATCGTTAGTTTCCTATTGCGTAACTCGAGAGTCTGTATATGGAGAGCTGTAATCCATGTTAAACACGTACGCTGAACAATGTTGAAGCTGCTGCGGGTCTGGCCCTCCTTGTCCTGATAGGTGCCGGTGCTGGCGTCACCCTCGACAAAGACGGTGGCACTATTCATCTCCAAGTCAGTATTGGCCAAACAACGACAACTTTTTGGCGACGACCAGATCAACCACAAAAAAAAAGGAAGAAAAAAACCCGGGCGGCGCGCCAAAAAAACGCGGCAAAGGGGGAAATGTGCCACAAAATAACGTACCCCTTGGGCAGTGTCAGGAGAAAGTCCTTGCGGGGGCCCTCGGCGAAGCTGGTGACGCGGAACCACGATGTCTGGCGGTTGTCCTTGGGGCCCGAGTTGCTGGCGACGGCGTACTTGATGATTTCGCGGCCGGAGCTGGTGGGCACGACCTCGGGGGTGTCGGCGAGGTTGCCAATGATGGAGATGCGGGCAATGGCGCGCGGCGACGAGGTGCTAAATGCGCGGACGGTCGATGCGGCGGGCGCGGCGGCGCGGCGGAAGAGCATGGAAGACATGGCTTTTTGTGTGTTTGGTGGTGTGCGAGTCGGTGATTTATGACGGTTGGAAGATCGGAGATGAGCGCGACAACGAGGAAGAGAGGATGATGATGATGATGATGGGGGCAAGCTGCGCAAGCCTTCGCAAATGGGCGCGTCTCAAGTCGCGAATCTGGCAGATTAAGCCTGCGCGCTGATTGGTTCGCGCTCGGTGCAAGGGGCACGCTAAGTTTATAGTGGTACCTGCTTCAAGGTGGGAACTTTGCGGGTGGGACATGTACCCCGGTAAGATCTCCCTTTGTAATGCAACTCGGGCTAATCTGTACGCTCCTCGGGGCAATGCTCCATCACAATGCAGGGCGCAGACTGGATCGTACTTGAAGGTGGGATTGAACTGCCGGAGAAGCCATACATCGCTGGGTAAGCAGCTGAGTCGGAGTCACTCGCCATGTTGCACAGCCGTTGAGGGATCCTGGGGACAACTTCAGCCGACCGATGGCTTCCAACTTGTGTATCGTGGCTAATTATTTGCTCGGTCTAGAACCTAGTTACACAAACTTCTGTCTTGTATTACTCCATATCGAGTTTACGCGCGTTGTGTTCATGCCGGTTCAAGTTGCATAATCGCGGCACCGTCGCTTCAAGCTCAGACATCTTACTCTCCATCTCGGTATACTTTATCTCTTCTTTGTAGTAGCAGAATGAAGTTTGCTCATCTAGTGTACTGGTATGGTATGATACGAGTAACTGTCTATCCACGGTGCTGCTAATAAAGCTGTCCTGCGGAAGTGTTTCACCCAGGACAGGCGATCTATCAAGACTGGCACCAGAGGCCCTAGCTTAATGTGCACGAGAGCGGTTCTCCAAACCAAACAAAGAAGCAGAAACCCAGTCGCTTACCAAATTCTAGCAATGCATTGTTTTGACATAGCCGGCAGGCTAGTATCGAACAAGGTGGTCCCATCGACCCTTCCGTACACCCCTCCAAACAAGACAGCAGAACAACGACATGGACATACAACTTTTTTTCACCACACCATCCTCCTCCCGAAATGGTCTTTTCATCACAAATCACAATATTCTTACTATCCGCTCTACTTGATTCTGACCAGCTCGTATACTCAACAGCCACCAAACGTCAGCTTTCGGTGCGGCCGGGTTGCCTGATGATGCAGTGCAGCTGAGCTGCTTCCAGGATGCAAATGCCAACATCCTCGCCGAGACTTTGTTCATACCTGCATCAAAAGCGTCTCCACCAGCCGAAAAGCATGCGCAAGCCGGACCTGAACCGTGCTCGACGGTTGTTCCCGGGGGGGGGACCGGCGGCCTGTACTACCGCACCGTTCTGTCATATCGCGGCGCGGCGGCTTCTGCGCCACCCCACGCGGCGCCGTCGCGCTAGAATCTCAACTATAAAAAAAAGAAGATGCCAAAAACTCGAAAGCCACCACTAGTTCACGGGATACTTTTTTCTCAGAGTTACTTAACATCTATTCATGTTTGACAAAAGGCAACTCTGTCACATAAGTCACCCGCTTGTCTCGGACCCACTTCCGCCACCTGCCTTCTGGAATTACCCTTTTTGGGTATCAATAGAACCGCGCTTACACGCATTGAGCGAGCTTTCTATAGCCTCCCGGCGCGCCCCAACAACCTTTTCAAACATGGACCCCCAGTTGCTGTTTCTTCTTCTCATAGTCAATGACCAAGTGCGCCTTTCCCGTGAAATGGCTTGTTGCAGGTGCCGGCATGGCTTTGCGCCATGGCTTTCCTGCGACCCGTCCCGAGGAGGGGGGCATCCCATCTCCTCCTCCTCCTCCTCGCCAGCGGCGTCGTTGTACCTTTGTTGCCCAAGGCTGGCTTCTTTTGCCGGCATCTGAACGCCACGGCTAGAGATATAGATAGTAAGAGAGATCTTCCCAAAGGGGGTTTGTTTTGAAACCCGGGCAAGCCTGGGGGGGAGGGGGCGTCTGAATAGCTGGCATCGCCCGTTCTCCAATGGCGTTTCTTCAGTCGACAAAGGTGCCTGATCTGCCACGATGAATAGGCCCCCAACTTCGGCCCCTCCCTAGTACGATCCGTACACACCACACTCCGCCTCTCTTATTGAGTTCTTTTGATTGGTATTTTTGTCCGTGGTGATGCGACTCTTTCTGCCAGGGGGGGGGGGGCTTCACTTCCAGCTGGCTTGCCTTGTTGATTGCTTTGCTGTATGCCGACGTCCTCGTCACTCACCCGCCGTCATGTATAAGGCTGCCATGACGGGCGGCTATCCCTTCGCTTCTCTCCGACTCAGGCCCCTCCCGACAACCTCAAACAACATAGTCCTCTTCTCCTTGTCTGTCTCTCTCTGGCTCTCCCTCCTCCTCCCGCGCTCCTCTCAGATGGGCCGTTGACAGGTTTCCTCTCCGTCTTGTCTGAACACCCCACTTACACCAGGCTTCACCACCCCTTCCTTGCCCTCCAAAGTAGCACATCAACAGTATCAACACACAATCACACAATGGAGCTTCACTCGCTCATGGGAAGAGAGGCCGCCTCGCCAATCTTCGCCATCGGTCCCAGTGATCCGCCCTACACCAGCCCGTCTCTGACCGCCAACCTCGTCGCCCGCGTCGTCCTCGGCGTCGTGGCCAACCTGGTCTGCCTCGTCCCGCTCCGCCTCCTGTACCGCAACGGCGAGTTTGCCGCCGCCGTCTTCATCGTCGTCGTCGAGGTCAAGAACGTCTTCACCATCCTCATGGCGCTGCTCTGGCAGACCGACGACCTCGCCTCGTGGTGGCCCGGCTACGGTCTCTGCGACATTGAGCCGTTTGTGTACAATGGCTGCGCCGGCATATTTGTCACCTGCCTCCTGGCCATCATGCGCAACCTCGCGCACCAGGTCGGCGTCCTGCGCGCGAACCCGATGACGGTGCGCGAAAAGAGGCGCCGCAACCTCATCCAGGCGCTCATCATCTTCCCGCTGCCCATCCTGCAGATGGCGCTTACATGGCCGCTCGCCGCCCGCCGGTATGCGGTTGGCACGTTGATGGGGTGCAGCTGGGTGCCTTCGTCAACCTGGCCGTTCCTGGTATTCTTTGTCATCGCGCAGCTCGTCGTTTCCGTGGTGGCTGCCATCTACGCAGGTCAGTCCACATTGGCAAAACAGTCCTAGGGACACATACTAACGCAGTGCCTAGTCATGACATTCTTTCGATTCCGCGAGGTCACCAAGACCACCTCCTCGGCCCTCAGCAGCAACCGCGCCGCATTCCTACGAAGTCAGCGAGCCAAGCGTCGCCTGTATCTCATGGTCATGTCCATTCTTGTTCCTTTTCTTCCCATCACCATCACTCTGTGCGTCCTCAACGTCCATACTATAGGACTCTTGCAACCATTCAACTTCAACAAGATCCATCACTCCAATCCTGGGGGGATTCCATGGGGCGCCATCATTTACGTACCCAGCCGTCTCAACAGCTTTGGCAGCCTAAACAACGGATACATTTCTATCTTGACCGCAATTCCCATCTTTCTCTTCTTTGGCATGACCAAGGACGCCATCAACTCATATCGCATGGTTCTGCTTTACATAGGGCTGGGCAAGGTCTGGCCAGACCTGCGCAATGAATATGACCCAGACAGAAAGGCGATGCAAACAACTACGTCGTCTGGATACCTCACTCGCATTTCAGGGTAGGAGTTGCCGTTCGCTCTTGGGAAAACCTGCCGTGCTAACACCGTCTTTAGAAAGGCGAAGTCTTCGCAGAGTTCCTCGCAGTACAGACTCACAAATCAGACCACCTGCAAGAGCACCGCATCTGGCGAGAGCTTGATAGGCAGCAGCCTGTCTCGTCTGGTCACGCCTCGCCTCGCGGAGTCACTTGGTGGCGGGCCTCATGACGATACCGCTCTGCGACCCCCTCCACCGAGCTGGACAAGTCTTCTACCCCAGAATCTCTTTCCTTTCCGAAGCAAGACCAGTGGCGTAAACGTTGCATCAGCAATTCGGCCACAGGCTCCGGTGTTGCCTCCGCTCGGCACAGAGGCTTCCACCTTTTCGCTCCAGAGCCAAAACGAAGATGAGATCGTCCCGCAACCAGTCTGTCCCCAGTGCCAGCACTGTGCAATGTCGCCTCCTCGCACCAGAAACTTTTCGCTCCCGGTGCTGCCCGCGGGCCAGTCACACCCTTCAGAGGCGCTGGATCTGCCCAACGACTTGTCAACTTTGGAGTCCAGTAGCAGGAGTGTCAAGTTTGCCAACCGTACATGACCCGATGCTGAGGATTTTCATCGGCGCTGAGGGCTTTTACTTATCTGTATACTGTTTTCTTTCCACTCAGTTTTGAGGGGTATAGCTAGCTTTTGCCATGTTACCAATATCCGACAACGTTTTGCACATTTATTTTTGGCGGACAAGTACACCGCAACAGCGGCATGGCCGTTTCACTTGCGAAGGGACAATAAGATATTCGAAACAAGTTCAACTATAAATGACTAGACTGTTTTGTGTATGCGCCCTGATCTGTGGTGAACCAAATCTAGAGTGCGCAAAGTAAGTAAGCAAAAGAAACGACAAATTTGATCCAAAATAAGAAGACGCCTTGACTGCCTAGTAATGCAACTGGTATCTCTAGCCATCGCGCGCGACGGGAAAATCGCTCCAACGGCTGTGCCGTTGAGTGGTATTAGGGGGGGGTATTCGACTATAATATAAACATTGAAAAAGAACGTTGTGAAATCGCGTTGAGCGAGAATGATGACGGACAAGAAAAGTCGCGCGAATGAGCGAAAGAGTGGCAAGAGTTTTGAGAATAAACTTGACGCAAGTCAAGAAGGGAATGATTGTGGTTGCTAGTATTTGCTAGCACTTCGCTGCATCTTGCGCAAAGCCTCGCGATGGGCGTCGATCAAGTCGCCGCTACGCATGCGGTCGTCAAAGGCGCGATCAGAGAATTCCCTGTCGCGGCGCTGCATCTCCCTTCGCTGCCCCTCGGCCTCCTTTTGGCCCATTAGGACGTGGCGTTGCATCTCAATGTTGCGCTGCACCTCTGCTTCGCGGCCGCCGAGGAGAGAGTTGGTTGACGCGAATGGCGTCTCGCGGCCGCCGCTCGTTTTCATGGGGTTTCCGGCGCGCAGTTCCTGCGAGACGGACATGCGAAAGTTGGCCAGCTGGGCGTCGCGTACAGCTTGCGCGGGGACGCTCGAGTTTCTCTTGGGCTGGTGCGAGTTGAAAGTGAGGTTGTCGGCGCCGCCGTGGCTGCTCCCGGCGCGGCTCGCCGAACGGTTCAGGGAATAGGACGAGTCGTTTGTCGACAAGCGGCTGCCGAGAATCATGGAGCGACGTTGGCTCAATGGTATCTCGTCAGGGTCCGAGCCAAAGGCCGCAGCATACATGGGGTAGTTGTGCAGTGAACTGGCATCACTAGGGGCGGTCATGGGAGGGGTCAGTGAGGTTTGCATCTCGCCAATATTGCCCAAGAGGTTTCCCTGCGACCTGGTGCGCAGAAACATTTCGCGCTGGCCGAGAAGGGTCTGTGGGCTTCCAAATGAGACAATACCGGGGGGAGCGGCAGCGGGCTTGACAAAGTCTCTCGTGTCCAGGTCAGGACTTGTGTCCCGGGTCAAGGGCGCTTCTTCCTCCTGAGCAACTGGTAATGTGCCAGAGGCAAAGCGAAGGCTGCGTTCCTCCTCAAGAATTGGCTTCACAGTCGCTGAAAGCTTGCGGATGTTTGAAGATGAGGACGAGTGCAGTCTAGAGGCTGCTATAGCATCTTTTGGTGAAACAGGCCCTGACATATCAAGAGATACTGCTGCAGCCGGTGGAATGGCCACCTGCAATGGCTCAGTCTCTGCCAGCCTCGCGACTTGCGGTCTGGCACTGGCTGCAGACATGGTAGATAGTCTAGATAGTGACCGTGGAAGCGCCGGGGCGGGGACTCCGTCTTCAGCGGTCCTCCGAAGCTCATGAATATTCACTGGCTTGGCACGCTCATCGTTAGCCTTCGTTGTGCGGGCGGGCATCTCAACGCGCAGCTCATCCATGTCAGGCAGCTCGGCATTGCTAAGGTGCTTAGCCCACTCATTCGTTCGATAAGACAAGGCGACACGCGACAGCGAGCTTGGAAGATGATCCTTAGTTAGGCTGACAGGACCAGACGTCTCAGATGCAACCGACTTGGGCATCTCCGATTGGGGCGCGTTGAGTAACTGATCGGATGTTTCTGTTTCGGTCGGGCCGGTAACCACTTCAGAGCGGAGGCTGCTTTGTTTGTTTTGAGAAATCTCACTTTGCCTCTTCGGCTGCTTTGACGTCGCCATCGATTGCTCGACCTCAGCGGTGTTGGTATTTCTCAGCGCGCCATCCCCCTCTATTTCGTCAACAGCCGTGGCCTCGACCTCTGGGTAGACGCCATCGACCATATCCATGGAGCGACGTTCGCCACCACTCACGCTCTCCAGATCCATAGTAGCGGCAAGCGAGTCATTATCTTTATCTTGGCGATGGGGATTCATTCGTGTCAGAAGCATTTCAGTACTCTCACCACCATCACGGGGGAAGTCGGGCGTGTGTGTTGAGCGGCCGGAGCGTTGGGACATACTTCGCAAGAGCTCTGCAGATCCTCGGGACAGGCGTTTGACAACTGAATGTCTTTCAACACGGTTTGGAGTCGCTGAAGCGATGTCGTCCTCAGCATCCGCAAAGGTCGCCACAGAAGATCGCTCAGACCGGGCAAGGTTATCTTGAGGCACGCTAAATGGTAGAGGTACAACTGCAGGCGAAGGTGTAATATCAACAGGCGCCTTGCCGCCGGCAGCCGTATTAGCGGAGGCACGCTTGCTCTTGGCTGGAAATTTTGAGGCGCGTCGCTCCGTTGAGTTAGACGGCTGTGGAATATTGAAGCCTCGGTCCCCCTTCTCATCGATTGCAAGTTCGTCATCGCCATCGCCCGCTTCGCTTCTGACACTTCCGGGAAAGTCATCGGCTCCAACTCGCACAGTCACTCCACCTTCGCCAGTCATAAGCTGATCCATGCCACGTTGGCCGCATTCTGACAGGTCGTCCATTTCCGTGTCGGGGTCGGATCGTTTTCGGGCAGCATAGACCTGGCTGTGAGCAGGGTTCTTTTCTTGAATGTGTACATTTTCGGAAAGTTGCGAGGCTGTGATGCTTTCGGTGCCACCATCACCATATATCCGCTCCCATTCGGCACGATCACGAGCGTTTGATTCTTCAATATCTCGCCCGACAATCTCTTCTTCCTCCCGAAGATTGCGCTGACCTTCAGCACGGACCGCGGCTCGCTTCTCGCGCTTTTCGCGGACGATTTTCCATAGTTTGACTTGGGACATGGTGCCAATCAGGAAAACAATTATGATGGCAGCAGTCTCGACTCGAATGCCTCTGGTGACTGGGTAGGTGTCAGCTCCGAGAGGGAAAAGAGTGTCATTCAGTGCCCAGATCCAAGCCCAAAACTCCTTGAGGCCGGCTCGGCTGAAGCAGTCGATACCAAGAACCGTTATGGTGGCGCCAGCGAAAGCGATGCAAATCATGAGAGACCAGTCACGAGTGTAGCGACTGAAGTAAAAGGCGAAGCCGCCGAGGGTGAAGCAGGCGATGAAAATGGCTTTGGCGGCCGTCACATGCAGCAGCCCCCCAGGAACCAAGCAAAGAAGCCACATGCTGATGCAGAAACCTCCAAGAGCACAACCCAATCCTTCGGTCAGTTCCTTGAAGAACATGGAAAGCGTGCCAATTGCACAGCCAGTGAGAATGATGGCAGCGACGTAGCCTCCCTGCAGAGCATCGCTCAATGGAACATTCATGACGTAGATAATTAGAACGGCAACGCCCAATGCGGCCATATAGGCGGTCGAGAAGAAGGCATGGATCCATGGGTTCTTTATTCCGATAAGCGCATACACCAGGCCGGTCAACATCATGATGACACCGGCGACACCCCACCCTGGTGTAATTTCTGGCGCGAGAGGCAATTGCCCATGAGGAATCGTGGCTGCATATTTTGGTCAAAAATGAACGGTTTGAAGACGGAATAGCTATACTTACCATTGAGAAAGGTCGGGCTGCCTGAGGGGGTCGGAGCAGGGATAGTTGCGGTGCTCGCTCCGCTCAGCGTGCTATTCGGGCTGGTCGCGACAGTGGGCGTGATAGAAGCACTTGCATCACTGGGTGCGGTCTTGGAGGTGACATCCTTGTTTCCCTCAGCTTTGTTGGCTGTTTCCGTGGGAGACGCGGTCGTTGCTGGCGGCGCACCACTTGTGGTCGGTGTCGCGGCATCGGCTCTTGGGATGAGTTGAAGGCTCTGAGCCGTAGCAAGTTGCAATGCCAAGATGAGGCAGAGCAGAGCCCAGACTCGAAGAGGCTTCGGAAACATGGTGAAGGCAGTGGTTGGATAGGGTGTCTTTGAAGGAAGAGAGTAGAATAGGCCTTGTAAACTTGCACGACTACCTACTTGAACCAACAAACCATGACGAGAGAAGAGAAGAAGGAAAGAGGTAGGAGAGCTGGATCGCAGAGTTCAGAGAGATGTCTCTCTAGGCGATGGGAAAAGAAGAAAAGCCTCGCGTGTAAATTACGCTGGACACAGCAACGTGAGACAGGTTGGTCCGGTCTTGCAAGTCCCAGGTGGCAGTGGGGAGGCTGCCAGATGGGCGAGACAAGCAGGGGGGGAAGCCGGATGCGTCGCCACACCGATCGTACAGGATGGCTTAATCAGAGGAGGGGAGAAGCTTATCCGAGGAAGCAATGGGATGGTGAGGGGAAGAGAAGCATTGAACGAGGGTTGCAAGAGAGCGATGACGCATTGGGGGAGAAGGGGGGGGGAGTCAAGTACATGGAGCCACGGCATAAGAGAAAGAAGAGCGCGGGCCACGGAACACAGGGAGTACGATGGTCCTGCACGGAGTATTGTAGCAGAGCACAAAATGGAGGCAGCAAAGCACACAAGAGAAAAACTAGTGGAAAAGGTACTTGTTGGCGGAGGAAGTGCCTCGTTTACTATAAGTTGGCTTTGGCTGCAGGCGGACAGGTGAGGTGGGCGGGCAGCAGGCGGTTCTTCGGCCAGCCGGCCAGCCCCGGAGGCCAGCAAGCCAGGTCCATGGGAGCTGGGAGTGGAGAGATGGCGATGCACCATTGTCCATGGTGTGTATGGCTATGACAGACAACTGGATGCAAGACGGTGCGTTTCCAAGGTCAGCCGAGAGCCAATTTCCCGTGGCGCCACCAAGAGCGTCGATGCATAGCGGCGGACATGAGCTGAGCTGGATGCATGGCACAATGAGGCGTAGTCAATGGAGGCTGGACGAGGGAAGTGCAGCGTGACGAGGGAAGCCCTTGGGTGCATTGATCATGATGACAGCGAGCCAAGAGGACGAGATGTCGCAGTTGATAGATGAGTGATAGATGAGTGATAGAGTGATAGATGAGTGCGACAAGGTATGAGCAGCAAGGCGAGACGTTTGGGTTTGCAGGGGAAGAGAATTCCGAGGATCCACCTGGAGGAGACGGGCCGGCAGCGGAAGGGAGAATTGGGCAGCTCACTTGGTACATGTCAAATCAACGACTCTCGCAGCATCGAGGCCAGGTGATGAATCAGGATTAACTAATTTGTAGCAGAGCAGCTTAATTAAACGAACTTGCACAATCGCACCCTCCGATGGACCGCCGCACCAGCTTCCCGGAATGAAGAGCCCCCAGTTTCGGCCCCGTCATGGCCGTTTCGCCCAATCCTGGTCCTGCAAAGTACCGATTAGTGACTGGTTACAGCACTAATGCAGCTCACGGCCGCCCAAGGCGCAGGTGGAGAAGTCGCTAAAAGGATCAAAGTGGCTGCTTTTAGTGGGCGGGAGGGGCACCTGCATTCAGGTACCATCTTGTACCTGGCCAACTGGATCCAGCCCATCCAGCCCATCCAACCAGCCAACCATCCAACGCTTTCCGTTTGCAGTCACAAACCTACCAGTTCTCCATCCACCACTTTCCCATGTCACCATCATCATTACGACCAACAAACGCCGTCGTCATTCATCATCATCGCATCGACATTTCACCGTCCTCAATTCCCTCAAAGAACAACCAGCAGCCTCCCGCCGTATCACAAAGACCCATTTATTTTTCCCGATCCCTTCCAGGAATGCAAAGAAACTGCCCAGCCCGGGCGCCGTTGTCAGCACTGGAACGCCCATCTTGCGCCGCATCGTTTTCTCTTGGTGGTACCGAGTAACTAGTATCCGGTGTACAAGTCCGGCACGGTGTAGACTGCGCAGCCCAACCAGATTCTGCAGCGCGCGATACGCCTCGTATCACATCCTTCGGTTCTATGGTCCTTTGCAATAATATCCCGTCTGTGCTCGGGGCTCGGACAAGACCTGGAACTGGAATCCTTGTTCGCCCGACGGCACCAACCGAATATACATACGGAGTATATACAGAGTACATCCCAACATGTCGAGACATGACAATACTTTCAACAACACCCTCGGGCCTGCCTGCGAGCATTTTCCTTTTCCCGCATCTAGTTACATCTTTGCCAATGTTATATTACTAACCAGCTGACAGCCGTGCATCCCAGCCCATTGATAGCTGCCAAACCTGCTCTACCAACCTGCCAGCTGCTGCCACCGCTTGCACGCCATGCCATGCCATGCAAGCGAGCATCCCAGGAAATTGCGATGCGCCACAAGATCGACCGCCACGCCACTACCACATGTCCCCCCTGACCAATGCCGTCCTCGAGCACGGCACCCTCTTGACAGTTTTTGTCATCACCGTGTCCCGCCGCTACATTGTTCTCTCAAGACCAGTTGTTACCACCGACACGACCTGGAACATGCAGCACAAGCACACAGCGCGCCGCGCCGCCCGAATTCAGCCTCCCTCTTTGAAATAACATCGTCGCACTTCGTAATCCTGGCTAGCTCCCTCGCCGGCTCAATTGCCTTCTCTCTCCACTCCTCTCGGATCGAAGCCTCTCTGCCTGGAGTTTTATTTTAGCGCTGCGACTGTCTATCGATCGGGTTGCTGACCCGAGCTGGACAATAGCCCGCCTCTGCTATTCATCCAGAGACCTCACCCAAGACAGGCGCAAGAGGCGCTGCACGGTGGTATCACAGTTGAATTTATCGAATAAAATGTCGGTCTACCGCCTACTTTTGGTTCATGCAAGGTCAAGGTCCCGACGAGATGGTAGGTGACCGACTAACATGCAGCAATCGAGCACATCGCATTGTCCCGCGGCTCACGATGGCCCCATGCCTTGACAGCATCCACCATCGACTGCCCAGCAACAATGTTCAATTGCCTTGCTCGCCAGAATTTCATGCATGGAGCGGTGAGCCGACTGCCTTGTTGAGTGCATACATACACATTGTCAGCCACGCGACAGCACACAAGACATGCAGCACTCTCTAATTCATGAGTGCCATCTACCCTGTCAAGATGCCTATATCACAATCACTTATTGGACCTGAAACCGACTGCAAACCATGCCACCCCCAGCCAGATTTGCCACTTTTACTCTCTAATACTGCTCGACTCTGGTGCGCAGGTGTGAGAAAACCGCCTCCTCTTTGCCACTGTGGCTGGCTAGTGACTCGCGAGCCTCTGCTTCGTATTGGGAGCTCAGTGTGTGCATGGTGCGCCTTGTATGTCATCGTCGCACTCATGAAGAATCAAGGGCAGCGCCCGCCCGCCGTGGCGTGATCCAGTAATTTGTACTATATTCGTATTTGTTCTCATGTTCCTAAGTTTACTGTTCCTAAATTTAGAGGAGGCTCACTCTGCGTCTAAAGTGTGCTAGTACCCCAGACCTCAAGTATATGATGCCTGCTGATAGTCAAGATGCCAGTTCATAAAGCATAGCCTCGATTTGCCATGTACTTGTGCTTGCAAGCTTGTCAACGGTCATTTCGTATTAAAATTAGCGGTACGCCGTCGAAAAGGAATTTCCATCTATCCCTAGCGTTGAGCTAAGTTGCAACCAGTTCCTTCACACAAGAAAAGCAAACACCCTGATACGGACTGGACACCTGCGACCTGCGCATCCAATCAACTTTGCCCGTCATTCACAAGCTGGAAACTGTATTTGTAATACGTCTTCTTTACTCGCACTACGTTGTATCAGCATGGTTTTTGTCAACGCCGCGGGTCAGCTGATACGGGTGACGTTATTGAAGCAAAGACTGTCTGTATTCGAGTATGGCTTTCTGTCCGCAAACTCAAGGCCACCGGGTCAACGAGCTTCACTTCCTCTCCATTTCATGCAGGGCGAAACGTGCGGCTGATACACACCGTTTCCTGGGCTGACGGGCTGACCGGGCTGACTTTTGCGCGACGCGTCGAGTCAACCGTTATTATTAGAGCTGGCCCGCAAAAAAACGTCAAAACGCGGACATTTTTTTTTTTCTGCTTGGCGCTCTGTTCCCTTTTGCCGATTAGACGCGTCTTTAAATTAACAAAAGACTTTTGAGTTTTCAAGACAAGCACGAGCTGTGCTAGCAACGGTTGGGTGTTGAAAAGGCGGCCCATGGTGAGAGAACCAAAACGGCTAAGTCCACGGGCACACGCTGCGAGTCGTCACAACCCCCAGAATGCAAAACGAGACGCTATCAATTCTTGCGCTATTACTGCTCGAGGGCTTATTTAGAAAGAATAAAAGAAGAACCCGAAACTGCGGAGAGGGCTAGTGGATATATTGGTCGATGCATGACAAAAAAAGGTAAAACGTAAGTGGTATCATGTTTGGATATGCAGCGATGCGGGAAATCAGTGTCGTGTAATGCGCTGTGAACCCAGTAGAGATGGAGAAACCAAAGGAAACAAGACTTGGAATTGAAACCGTTACGACTTTTGCGCCGAATCGCGATGAAGAAGAGGAGGAAAGGGGGAAAGGAGGCGGGAAGGAAAGAAAAAACGTCGCTCGGATCACATAAACGCGCGTGCGCGCGGGCACACAAAGATGACACCCGTCTTCATTGACATGGTCACTTCCGTGCCAGGCGTGAAGGCATCTTATCGCCATTGTAGCGCGGTTGGCCAGTCGTCTTGCTCCCTCGCGTGCTCCGGCTCGACGGCTTGCCGCCTGTCTGCGCGCCGTTGGGCGTGCCCTTTTTCCTTGCACCACCGCCGGCGCGGGTAAAGGAGAGCACCCAGCGGGCGGGCAGGAGTAGGAGCTGCAGCACGGCGTGGAACGGAAACAGCACAATCTTGACGACGGCGTCGAAGCCGCGCACAAGGATGCTGCTGCGGGCGCTGTTCTTGGCGGCGACGGCGGCCAGCGCAATGGCGTCCTGGACGCGCGCGTCCATGGCGGCAAAGTGGGCGTCGACCTGGGACTGTAGCAGCGTCGACTTCTTTTCGTAGCGGCGCACGGCGCGGTTGAGCGCGTCGAGCTCGGGCTGGATGGCGCCGCGGATGTCCTTGGCGAGGACGGCCTCTTGCGCGGCCTTGGCCGACTCGTTCGTCTCCTCGTCCTCGTCCTGCTCGGACAGCACGGCAGCGGCGGTGCGGGCGGCGGCAGCGGCGGCGGCCGAGTCGGACTCGAGTGCGTCGAGGCGCTCGAGGATGGCGTTGATGCGCACGCTGTTGGCGGCGGGCAGCGCGCCAAAGGGGTTGCTGTGCACGACGCGCTGCAGGTGCAGCGTGCGGGCCTGCACCAGCTTGATCATGTGCGAGAGCACGCGCACCTCGGAGACGAGGATGAAAATGGTCAGGTTGTAGTTGGAGACGAGGCCCTCGGACGGCCGGCTCAGCTGGGAGCGAATCATGTGCAGGATGAAGGCGCTGATGAGCGGCAGCGAGAAGCACGATAGGAGGGCCGTGACTTCGTGCAGGTAGAGCTCGCTGAGGGCCGATTGCTGCGAGGGCGATGGTGTCTTCTTTTCTGGCGTGGACTCGTCATTCTTGGAGCGCAGCGCGTCTTCTTCGGGGACGTGGTCCAGGTGCGAAGCTCCATCTACGAATTCCTCGTCGTCGTCGCCGTCGTCGTCGTCGTCGTCGCTATCGTCATCAAAGACTTCATCTGCAGAATTGGCTTCGTGTTGAATGCGCACCTGCTGCGCTGAGTGGTACCACAGCCTGTCATTCATGTTAGCGGAAATATTTGCACCAACGGCGCCGCAGAATCTTCTTCTTCTTACCAAGGCTGCGTGACGGACCAGTGCAGAAAGACGCCGGCCAGGCCCAGCAACATGATGTCCGTCGCCACGGCGCCGCCGCCCGTGAACAGCGCGCCGGCCAGGGCAGGCAGCAGCGCAAAGGCCAGCGACAGGCCGGCCAGCGACGAGAGCTCCGGGGGTTGGTCGGCGGCGGTGCCCTGGGCGGCCTTGGCGTGCGGGTTCAGGATCGCGCGGGCGTCGTTGAGACCGCGATCGGAAAAGTTGGAGCTCCGTCTGAACGGTGGCGGGTTTCCCCGCGATGGTGGCGGCTCGAAGCCGCTGGAATCAGACGAGAGACGGCGCGTCGAGGACGGCGGCACCCAGCGGGCCGCGCCGGGGTTGCTCTCGGCGACGGTCCTGGCGCGGCGAATGGCGTGGCCGGGCGGCGCGCTGACGCCGGAGCTCACGCCTGTGCTCGGGATGTTGTTGTGGGTGGTGGTGCTGCTGCTGCCGCCGCCGTCTGTTTTGCTGCTGCCGTTGGGGCCGTTATTTGCATGACGCAATGATGGGCGGGCAGCCGTCGACGGGGAAGCGTCGTCGGCCATGGTGGGCAGAAATGCATGCGAGGAGCGCAGCCAAGACGGATATGGTGAGGCGTCGGAGAACAGCTGGTAACGAATGCAAGATGGAGATTTGGTCGATGTGACGGCGGCTCGGCAAAGTCGTGGTGGTTGGTGCCGAGATGGGAGCGGGAAAGCGGGAAAACGGGAATGTGGCAAGGATGATGGGCTGTCTGTCAACCTGGTACTGTTCACGTCACCACCCCGCGCAACAAGTGCTTTGATTCTTAATTATGGTGTGTTTTAGTGCTTTTTGGGGCGATTTTTTTGCTTGGACTTTTTCATCCCCTCGATCCCCCGAGGCGGTTATTCCAGTAACTAGCGGGTTGCGAACCCTAAAACTACCTACTAACGATGGGACGGAAATCGGTCCACAGTGACAATCCAGTCCACGACTCCACGAACAGCCACAGTCTGGGGTACATGGGCATATCTGGGCTCTCTGTGGATGGATGAGTATTGACCACGCACGCCAAAATTCATCAGAGAGTCTAGATATGAGCTGATTTTTCTAATGGCGTAGAATGAAAAAAGCACGTCGCCGTCTCCCTTGGAGCCGCCACCATTCACACAAGCCCATAGCGTCTGGCATGTGATGGTACTAGGTTAGTACTATACATGACCCCCTGGCCAGGGAGATCAACATCGAGATGCAGCAGCACAATCGGTGAAAATTTCCGACGAATAACGGCTGGTAATGATGGCACATAATAACTCTTGAGAAGGGGCGTGGTGGCCAGGTACATACCCTACCCTACATATTCGACGATTCTGCCAGCATCAACTTGCTTGACAACTTGGAAAGTAAGAAATGAGATTAAAATAATAGAAAATAGAAAACAAAAATAGAGATAGCGGAAAATTTGCTTTTGAATATCCCGATGCAATGTGCATGTTGCGCCAAACCCTGCCTGCCTCCTGCCCTTCCGTATTGTATGGAGCTACCCTTGACTCTGTTTTGTCAAGTCCGTGGTGCCGGGCCGTCCTCATGCTCGACCGACACCTCCGTCGTCCGCTCAATAACCAAGCGATCCAACGGATCCGTCCTCGTCGACTGCTCATCGCCGCGACTCCTGCTCCGGATCGCGCTTCTCCCTCTGCTCTGCGCGGCGCTCCGCAAGCCGCTGCCGACGCTGCGGCTCGTACGTAGCAGCCGGCCGACTTTCCCGCCCCGCCGGCCAGACTGCGTCGTCGCGCTCGCGTCGTGGGACGCCGAGGCGTGCGCCAGGCCCTGGTACGGCCGCCAGTTGATGCTGTCGTTGGCCGAGGCCCTGCGGGAGGAGCCGCTGCCGCCGCCGAGGACGTCGAGATGGTAGTACGGGTCGCGCGAGCGCTTCCCGGAGCTCACGTTGGCGCTCTCCAGCACAATGGTGGGACCAAAGTGCCGCAGGAACGGCTTGAGCGTCGTGACGCACGACGCAATCATGGAAAAGTGCAGCACGGCCTGTGTCAGGATGGCGGGCATGATGCTGGTCAGAGTCGGGTCCAAGTTGCGCGCCGGGGCTAGGAAGACAAGACGGAATGCGATGAAAATGACGACCCTGTTGCAAATGTTGGAAATCCACACGAAATGAGGGGAGGGGGGAGGACTCAGATATTAATACTCACATTAGTTTGACTCCGAATGTACTCAGGATGTATATGCGCTTTCGCAAAGTCATCTGGAGGCTCCAAATCAAGTGGACGGCTAGAAACCAGTTTGCTACTTCGATGACCATCCCCGTAGTCTCTACAATTATCCAACGAATATGCTGCATGGTTGTTTAGCTGGCGATGCACACGGTATAGTAGAGTAAAGTTTCATACCATGGACTGAGTCCCGTCCATTGTAGACCACGGACGGCTAATGTTGCCACGAATGGCCATCGCAAGCATGGAAGCTGCGGTCCATACGCCAGAGGTGAAGGCCAGAAATCGAGCAGGTAGCGTCTCCGGGCCAGAATGGGCCATATGCCAGATAAAGAGCGCCGCGGAAGCCCGACAGAGCCCTTGTGCCAGCACATACAGGAGCTCGGTGGTGTATAGCAGCTTCAAACCACCCAGGTCAGTCTCTCAAATGGTATCAACCGAGTGTAACCAACCAACCTTTTCTAATACAGGCCGATGCTCTGGTTTAATCACAGCCAAAGACTTTCCGTATCCAAAATCTAAGGCACTGTATGTGCAAGCCACTTGGGCAATCACGGTTACCTGCAAACAAGGCGGTCAGGAGCGAAAAGTTATCAATATTGAATCTCTAACTTACAAGAGATAGCGTAAGACAGTAGTCATCTGGTCCCCATGTTTTTGATCGGTACTTGGCCCAGGCTCTGACGAGAAACGCCGAGGTTGACCAGGCCAAGAACATGCCCATCGGGGCATTCAGCCACGAAGCCCGATCCTCATCCATCTGTGATTTTAATTGTTTTCGTAGACTTAGCTGCTATACAGCGCCGTCATCAAGAAACGGACACTCTCTGGACCATGGAGAGCAAAGAATAAAGTGTTCGTCGAATGTTGTGAAATGGTGGTCTGTGACTGTCGTAGATGCAGCCAAGGCTCGGGCATGGGACAGATCAAGAGGCTGAGCACGCGAAACAGGAGACAAGAACAAAGAAATCGGAAGAGGACGCGCGGATGGTTAAATTAGAGCATTGAATAGAGATGTATCGGGGGCGAAACAGAAACCGTGCATTGCATGTCCGTATTATTGCCTCGGGCGACTTGAGCCGCTGCGCAGCCCTGTCTGCTGCACAGGCAGCACAGGCAAGAAAGAATATTTTGGCCCAGCGGGGCAGCCTGTCACGATCTTCCTGGAGAGAGAAATACTGAGAATAATACAAATCACACCTGGCTAGGGTTCATCTCAGGCACGCAGCGCAGCGGGATCCCAGGGTTCCGTGTATTTATCTCAAGGGTTGCTGGACAGAGCAATACATGGGCGCCCCCCTGCCATATTAAAGTTCACTGGGAGCTCGTTCACCAGTGAGACTAGAATCATGAACATAGGGGCCGCGGAGCACGCATATTGCCGGCGGTTTCAGTGGGCTGTGAGACAAGTAGATAGTCCAATAGCGTCTAATTATAACGCCTAGTTATCCATGACACGCATAAAGGATGCAGGCCGTTCCCCCCCCGCGCCTTCCTCCGGTGACCCCAAAAGAAAAGAGCCAAGAAAAAAAAAGGGTAGCGAATGTCGTGCGTGCATAAAACGACAGAATGCGTCTGCGAAACGACCAAGTGCAGGGGTCTTGACTCGCCTGCCTCTCTCCCTTTGCACCGAGCTGCAGCAAAAACGAGAAAAACCTAGGCTTGCGAATGTATTGCTCATTACGAATAAACAGGCTCGGAGACTGGCCGGGCAAAGCCATCCCTGCTGGCGGGATGGAGCCCCGGAAGCTGCCGCCCACGCGAAACTCGTCGCCCGATTCGTCGTCCACTGTAGTTATCGAGGGGCCGGCCCGTTGACGGGGGCCCAGCCGTTGAGACAGGCTGTACGAGACATGTTCCAGTGTGGGAAGCAGGAGGATGGCGAGCGAAGTACAGGACGACTTGGGTAGTTCATTCGGGTTGACTCTTAAAATTTCTCAATTCAGAATTTCTACTCCGTACCGTCTAGCATGCGAAACAGCTCGTTACAGGTGGACCTCTTGACAATGTTTGGCTCAACCCGGGGGCCTGGTAACTACCGACGAGGGTTGGGCGCGGTCTGACTTGCCTTGACTCTTCTTAGTAATAGAGAGCATCAACCCCAGCCCCCGCGGGACTTGGATTCGGTAGTTATTCCTAGGTAGGGAATTCGTACCGATACGATGTTCCGTTTCTAGAAAGCCTTCCGGGGCCCGTTTAGCAACTGGGTGCCACATGATCTCCCCTCATCAGCTTATAGCAGGCTTACAACAAGGGATGTACGTTGAAATAGTTGGTTCATATCTATAATGCGAGGCTTTCATATTCCGTGTAGTTGTAATAATTAGAAAAAAAAAGGCATACACCACCCAACCGCCAACGCCCAAGTACATACATATGTTGCATTGGCAAGAACCGCGTCACGCGAGGTGCTTTTTTCTGCCTTCAACCAGCACAACAGGCCCCTCGTACTCGTAGCGGCCCTTTACGACGTAGTAGACCAGGGCCACCGCAACGGTCGGCACAAAGATGGCCACGGACCAGTTGAAGCCGCTCGGCGTGACCGGATATTCCTGCGGCCAAAACGCCCAGAAGAAGCTCCATACCACGACCAAGACGGCGACGACATTGATGGGCACGCCGAGCCTTCCGAGGGAAAAGGGAGCGTGCGGGAGCGTCTCCGGGTGGTATATGCGGCGCCAGAGCACGCAGCTGATGGAGAAGCAGTAGCACTGCATGATGGCGCAGGCGAGCAGCGAGCCAATGGCGTAGAGCGCGACCGGGCTGCCCAGGTAGAGGAGGCTGAGGAGCGCGGCAAAGATGCCCGTCAGGTAGTAGGCATTGACGGGGATCTTGCGCTCCTTGTCCACCTTGGCGAGCCACGCCGAGCACGGCAGGCCCTTGTCGCGCGCAAAGGCGAACAAGTCGCGGCTCACGGCCGCCAGGTAGGAAAAGTTGGAAAAGAGCAGGAAGATGCACTGGACGACGAGCAGGACGGTGAGCCAGGTATCCGACATGGACTGCCGGAGCACCCAGATGGCCGGGTACATGGTCGGCTCGGCGAGCGCGACCGAGACGTCGGGCATGTGGTAGCAGAGCGTCACCACGGTCGCAATGTTGAGGAAGAAGTTGATACCAAACACGCTCAGCACCACCCGCGGCACCGACGACGACGCGTTGCGCACCTCCTCGGCCATGTGCACCGCGGCGTCGATGCCCGTCTGCGACGTGATGGCCGGCAGCTGCCCGACGAGCACGGCAATGGTCAGGCTCGGCCAGCCGCCCGCGTTCTCCCAGCGCGTCCACACGTGCTCCGAGGTGGTCCGCGGCGCGTTGCACCACACGGGCACGAGAAAGGCAAAGTAGGCGAGGATGTTGATGGCGAAGACGGGGTTCTGCCAGTACGGCAGCACCCGCGAGCCGTGCACGTTGGCCACGACGGCGAGCGCGCACACGCCCACGGCGAGGAGCGTGCCGTGCCAGTTCTCGAACTGGTACCCGGGCTGGTGGATCTGGATAATGGCCTGCACCAGCGTGCCGATGAGGAACAGGCCCGACGCGTTGCCGGCTTGGAGCGCGAGGGTCGATGTCCAGCTGCCGATGACACGTTAGTACTTATAGCATGGTTAAAGAAAAACTAGAACCCCCTCCGAGCAGAGTCGCTACCGCCTTCTCTTACCCTGTCAGATAGCTCAGGAACTTTTGGTAGCGTTCCGGCGCAAACTCCGAGACCCAGTGGTACTGCGCGCCGGCAATGGGCGCCATGCTCGACATCTCGGCCAGGCTGAGCGCCACGGGGACAAAGGCGCAAAAGATCCAGATGTTGGAGTAGACGAGCGCCGGGAGGCCGCCGTCCCGCAGCGCCGGCGTGATCTGGTACAGCGTCACCTCCCACGCGGCCGTGGCCATGCCGACAAAGGACACCATGGAGAAGACGCGGTAGTGCCGTACGAGCTCCTGCCGCCGGCCCATGCGCCGCATCGCCTGCGCGTCGTCGTACGTCGACTTGTACACGTCCCCTTCCTCGTCGACGCCTTCTTCACGCGCCCGCTCCCCGTACGACATTGGCGACGCCATGGCGATGTCTTCCGTTTTGTAGCTGTGTTGGTGCTCCTGCACACCACCTTTTGAATTCATCTTTGCTGCGTTTTTGACTTTCGTCACGTACTCTAGATGGGAAGGAGGGGGAGGGGTTGGTTCGATCGTAGATTCGATCGGCTATAGAATAACGCCGAACAAGACATGTAAGACATCCCAACAGGTTCAGAGAGCGAAGATGCGCCGGGAGTATTATACCCAGCGGCAACAAATTTAGTCCATCGGACGAACCACTACATCATGGGGTTTATTGAGGAGCACGGAACAAGAATCGGTCAACAGGCAGCCTGAACAGGGGTTCCCAGAAGAATTGGTAACAGTTTCGCCAAGCATGGAGCTAAGCATAGCAATATGCAACCGAACAAAAGTCGAGGTCGTCTCCTCCTTTGCTCCGCACCATGCGGCATGGGACGGCTGACACAACGACGACAGCCGGACCCTGTTCAGCCATGGTTGTTCAAAGAAGGACAAGTTTCCGGTGGCCAGAGAAACACCGTTCCCATCGGGGTGGAGAAGAGAGAAAGATGTCATGGAATGGAACCGACCGCTTCCTCGTGATTGAGATATAAAAAAGTGGCGAAGAAAAAGCCAACTTTATCGACAAACTAATAAAGTAAAGACGGCTAGGGGCCGGCTCATACCGACGTGCATATATCACATGGGGGTCTTCGTGGGCCGCCCGACTGGGTTGACTCGCCGTCTCAGGATCTTGTCTTTGAGATGGCGGACCGAAAGTGAGCCGATTTTGTTCTCAAGATGGGGCTTGCTATATCTAATCCCCAATAATACAAATTACAAGAGGCCCATATGTTTTGCCGTTGTGAGTGATGAACCAAGAGATAGAATACCGTTTAACTACAGAAAGTCCATAATAAGAGCCAAAGGTGGAAACAAGGCCGACAATGGCCAATTTGCTGGTGCAAAAGAGAACAATATGTACAAAGAAAAGGGAAAGAGAGAAACAAGAGTGGTCATGCCAAGTGCCATGACTAGAGCCTGCATGATCTGCATTGCCTCAGCGTCTGGAGGGTTGGTCTCGGTGAAACACAGCGCTGCATGCTTTCCTGCGCTCTGCATTACAACCAGGTTCAAAAGTTAGAGTCCATCACTCAACTCAGACATGCAGCCATTATGCATTATTGACTCGCAAAAGTACACCTGGTTATGCCGCACTTCAAGGCATACGTGCCATGCTAGGGAACAACTCAAAAGTGGCTGCGGCACTGACAACAATGCCATATTTCCGGGGAAATGGAATTGAGATTCTAATAACTAACTAGAGCGAGCCTTTGCAAAAGAGAACTTGGCTGTAGGGTAGGGGAGTGCCATCTCCCACCTTGACCCTTTCTAAACAAAAGTCAGCAACTCCCGATGTCTGGTCTGCTTTGCTCGTCTGGCGCTCTTTGTTTATCCATTTCGAGAATTCAAGCAGGCACTTCCCGCGGCCGCTGCTCCGTTCCAAACGTCAACTGCTTGTTCTTGAACGGGATGAGCGCCAGGACCACGGCCTCGGCGTAGTAGCTGCGGCGCGTGACGACGTCGCCCGTCAGGATGCCGACGGTGCCCGTCTCGTGCTTGGAGTTTGTCCGGCCGTGGAGGACGTTGTCTGCGTCGCCGAGCTCGAGGCCGTCGCGCAGCAGCCGCGTCGTCTCGCGCGGCAGGAAAAACGTCGCCGTGCGCGCGCGGCCCAGGCTGCCGTCGCGGTGCAGCACCGCGATCCACGCAAACGCCAGCACCTCCTCGCCGCCGTCGACCGCGTGCTGCACGCCGCCCTCGAGCCCGACCCAGTACTCCGCCGCCGGCGCGAGCGCGCGCGCGTTGCGGGCCCGGTTGACGGCCCCCCGCAGCGTCTCCTCGTCGGAGAGGGGCTGGACCGCGACGCCAGACTCGGTGCTGACGGCCTCAAAGGTGAAGCGGCCGTCGGGGAACATCTTGTTGAAGCCGTCCTCGGTCGCCAGCGCCTTGAGGGGGTTCTTGGACGCCACGATGACGGTGCGGCCTGCCATTTGGGCTATATGAATCGGATATTTGCCCTTGTGTCAAATGGAACTGAAGCGGCTTCGAGTGTAGAATCACTTGGAAATATAGGGGTATTTCCCTTTGCTTTGCTCCTTCAGCTCCAAAGATGTTTGCTGGAGTTGCTAAGTTTGGACTGGCGTGACAGCTTCACGGTGGGCCCGTATCAGTTTCGTGCCAGGAACAGTTATAGGTACTTGACGACAAGCAAACAAACAAAATTATGAACTTTTCTTTTCATCACTCTTATTGCTCCTCGAGCATCTCTTCATCTCTTTGCAGCGCGGGACTAATTTCTCTATCGTCTCGTTGCCACCATGTCTTTTTGAATCTCAAGGTCAGTGCAAGGTAAAGCATTCTGGTGTACACTTTCAGTGAGCCGACAAGGTATTTAATTCTATTTTCAACCCTTGTTTAATTGATGGTAAGATTACCATCTAACTAACCCCTCCTCTCTAGACCTCTTGCTCACTATTCGTTCCTTCGTGGCAGTTGTCGTGGTGGCAGCTGATAGCCGTTCAACGAGAGGGTCCGTGCTCCACTCCTCCCTTAAATCAAACAGCTGCTCTCGTCTTGCAACATTGCGAAAACAAAAAGGCCCATGTCCGCCATCCTGATGACAATATCCCGCTATCGCGCCAACCGCATCGAATAATTGACCGAGGCAATTGTATACCTAGCAATAACCTTTGTGTGAAAAGACCAACGCCCACGGACCGGGCCGACAGATCCAGCGTTGTCGATCGAGTCTCCCTCGCAGGCTGCAGCCACCCAGCATTCCACTCGCAATCTTCCGAGATCGCGCGACAGCCTACAACCCGCGCAATTGGTCGGCCATCGAGTTGTCCACATTCCAGACCATAATATATCATCCAAATCGCCCTTTGTTCGCTACGTCATTCCCGGGAAGCCAAGTCCTCGTTCCGCCACATCAACCGGTCGCCGCATCGACCCGCCACTCGAGTTGCCCACTTCGCGCTTGCTTCGATAGACCGTCAAAACCACGCCGAACATGACAAACAACGATGGTCCTGGCGATGGTTTCGCCAGGGACTTGGAGCGCGGTCGCGACGAGAATGCCCCTCGCCTGTCCAACGTCTCCGCCGGTGACGGCATCGGCTCCGCTCTCTCGTCGACCAACTCGTCCATCATGGGCGACGATATCCAAGGCGACCTCGGCGAGGAATGGGGTCCTCGTCATCCCTGCTACCCTCATCTAAACCCACACGTGCCCGTCGACTCGGTCGAATACGCCACGACGAGAATCATCCGGGTGCGCCGCGACTGGCTCCTTCACGGCGACCTGGCGCCGGCCTTTTCGAACCTCTACCCCGAGATTCTAGACCCTGCCGGCATCTCGGAGCCGGAGTTTCGAAAGGTCATTGGCAAGCTCAACGCCGAGCTGGGCGAGACGTTCAATCCCTATGCCGGGCGCAACGTCGTGGACAGTGTCATGGGAGCCGTCACCGGCTGGCTGTGGGACGACCTTGGCTTGACGGCGTCCAAGAGGAGGCTGGCGGCCCTGGAGGATTGGATGGAGAAGTGGAACACGGAGATGCAAAAGTCAATGTCTACCGACGATAGCGGACTCGTTGCGCCAAAGATGATCCCCCTCCGACAAACAGGATACATGACTGTGAGTGTACACCGCGACTGCTACATCTCTTTCTCGCTTGTGCTGACAACCGATGATAGCTCGACATCCAAATACCGGATCCCGAAATTGCGCCAGCTCCTAGTACGGCCGGTGCAAACGAATCCAGGACAGCGTTGACGATGGAGCCGGCGCCGGCCGCTGCCATGCCCGTGTAGAGCAGGCGGCACTTCCGGCACCGGTGATGGACAAACTCTTTTTACAAATTACGTGTATATTGAGCGCGCGAATTCTTTTTTTGGGCGGAGTGGTTCTCTTGAGCAGCACAGCTTTGGGACCTGTTGTTTGAAAGGTGTTAAGATGCCATATAATTTCTGATACCACAGGCATCGTCGGCGTTGGAGTTGCTTGATGTTTCTTTGATCTAGTTTGTATTCTTTGATATGTTTATTTTTTTCTTGTTCTTTTACGTGCTCCTATGATGGATCTGAGCTCAACGTGATGTTCTATTCCTGACAAGGGATGTCAATAGCCAAGACTTGCACGTGGAGAAATCAACGACCCGACCGACCACAAGCACAGCACGCAACGGGTAGTCCCGGCTCGCGTCACCGGTAGCCAAACCTGACCGCCGAGACTCGCACGGCTACCAAAATTTCATTCGTTCTTCCGAATGCGGGGGGGCAAAGCAACCAACCCCAGCTCCGTCTTGTTCCCGGCTCGCTTCTCACTTATTACCTTGACAACATTCTCCCCAGCAACTAGTCGACAAATACCAAAGCCATGAGCAGCGGACCAGACAGAGCTGTGTAGATAGGCAGGAAAGGATGCGCATATAATAGCCCCGCCGCTGCTTTTCTACGTTGGGCCGGTGCGCTTCAGTGTCGACCCCTTTTCCGGCGGACGTCATGACCGCCGCCGCCGCCGAGTCGGAGCCGCCACGGCCAGCGGCGGCGCGCTTCCTCACCGGCATCTTCAACTTTGTGCTCGGGCAGTGGCTGATTATCGGCTTCGGAGTGGCTTGTCTGTTGGCCTATCTCTTTCCTCGTATGTACTTCATCCAACCCTTTTTTTTTTGGCCTTTTTTTTTTCCCCAGCGGCCTTTGTTGCTCACCAGCCCAACGCAAAGATGTCGCCGCCCACCGAGGCACCATCCGCTCCGAGTACAGCATCCTGTACGGCGCCGTCGGCTTCATCTTCCTCGTCAGCGGGCTGCAGCTCGCCCCCGCCAAGCTCCAACAGAACCTGACCAACTGGCGGCTCCACGTGCTGGTGCAGGGCATCAGTTTCCTCGTCTTTCCCGCCGTCGTCCTCGGTATGTGCGCCTCCCTCCTCTGCTCGCCATACTAATGTCCTCATCTTTTTTTTTCTTGCTAGCCATCTTTCATATTTGCATCGCCGCAGGCGCCCTTCACAGCGGCACCCCGTCCGTACCCGTCCTCGTCGGGCTGCTCGCCACCGCCTGCCTCCCCACGACGATTGCTTCCAACGTGGTCATGACGCGCGGCGCCGGCGGCGACGAGGCGGCCGCCGTCATCTCCGTCGTTCTCGGCAACGTCTTTGGCGCGTTCCTGTCGCCGCTGCTCGTCTACGGCCTCTTGCCCGGCGCCGGCAGCAGCGTCGTCTTTGCGCCGTGGCGGCCCGCCGGCCCCGCCACCCTCGGCCGCATGTACGCCGACGTCGCCAAGCAGCTCGGCCTCAGCGTCCTCCTGCCGCTGGCCGCCGGCCAGGCCCTGCGGTGGGTGTGGGAGGACAGGGTCGTCTGGGCGCTGAACCTGCTGAAGCTTCCCAAGGTGTCGGCCTGCTGTCTCGTCCTGCTCGTCTGGTAAGCGGTCTTCTCCAGCGGCCGCCGCTCTTGAACTGACGTGTCTGGCACCCCCAAGGACGACCTTTTCTGGCGCGTTTGAAACAGGCGCGCTTTTCAAAATCTCCAAGCCGTCGGTGGTGTGGATCATCTTGATGAACGTTGCCCTGTACCTCCTCTTTACTTTGATATGCTTCTTCGCAGCGCGGCCTCCGCTGGCGGTCGCTCAGCTGATCAACCCAATGGTGGCCGACTCGACGTTTGGTAGAAGAATGCCCAATTTTATTCGTCGCATCCTTACTGTCCGCCAGATGTCTATGGAGGAGACCATTGCCGTGTGCTTTTGCGGTGCAGCCAAGACTACGAGTCTGGGAATACCGCTGGTGGCTGCCATGTGGGCTGCTGCAGACAACTTAACAAGGGCATTTATTCAGATACCTGTCTTATTGTATACTATTGAACAGGTTTGTCCGGCCGCAGCCAGCCTTTGGGCCTCTTTTTTTTTCTGACACAATTTAGGTATTCATAGCGCAGCTACTGGTCCACGTCTTCAAGTGGTACTTGCGGCGCCTCCAAAAGCATCCATCAGAATCGGAGACGCAAGCAGACACAGAGCTGGAGGAGCGACTACAACACGAACACAAATAGGAAGAAGAACAAGATGCGATTCGGAGAATGAAGTGTAATATGCTGCCTTTCCCAGCGACTCGTATCTAAGCGCACAGAGTGAGGACGACAGAGACGTCCGAGTGGCAGACGTGCGTGTGGATGCCGCCGGGCGGCACGCCGTCGTCCCACTGCACGGCGGTGCAGGCGCCGTCGTCGCTGGCCAGACGCAGCTTGTGGCCGGCAAAGGGGTCGCCAAAGACGTCGCTGAGGTCGTACCAGATGCTGGGCTGGGTGAGGCTGTAGGCGAAGTTGGTCTGGGGCTTGCTGGTCCAGAGGCCGTCGCGCTCGCGGGTGATTTTGAGGGTGCGGCCGCCCGTCTTGGGGTCGACGGCAAAGGCCTCGGCGTACGACTCGCCGTGCTGCAGCGTGTGGCCGCCCGACACGTCCTTTCCGACGGACCACAGCGTCACCTCAAAGTCGCACTTGTTGACGACTTTGGCGAAGCCCTCGGCGGAGACGATGCCGGCCGCGATGGCGAGGATGGTGAGCTGCTTGAACATGGTGGCGCGGGTTGTGTGTGTAAGTGGGAGTATGTGTAAGTGAGTGGCGGATAATGAGGGCTCAATTTAAGGGGGAAATAAGTAGCTATTTATACAATATTTCATGAATACAAATGTCCCTGTCTTGGGTGTAGAAAATGTGCCGTCCGCAAATAAGGCTACTTTGCTTCAACAAAGTAACACAGTGACGTCGACGTTGCATTCGATGAAAGACTAGGCTGCATCACCACCCGTGATACTCCAAATCTCGGGTTTGCAGAACACTAGTTAGCCTGACCTGACAGCGGAGCTCAATACGAGCTGCCCGGGGGGTCCTGATGGAGGTGTCGTGTGGATGCATCAATCCTCTGACAATCAAGTTTCCATGAGCTCACTTCAAAGTACGCGGGGGCATGCGACATCGTTCTCCATGCTATACACGGACGCTAAACTGGGCATATATGCCGGGTCCTTGCCCTTGCCCGGCATTTTCGCCACTCCCGACTGCCGCTCGTTTCAATATTGTGTCTGCCGCATCTTTTGGCAAGTTGTCGCTAATACCTACTACATGGAGGGGGTCCTCCGCCATCGTGTACTTGGAAGAGCAGACATGGCCTGTTGATCTGTCGGAGAAATAGGCCCGAATAAAGGTGCCAAGCAAAAGAAATAGTTTCTTTTTGCATCACCGATACGAACAGAAGAAAAATCAAGCCTCCACCTGGTTCTGGCGGCGCGCCACCCTTTGAAGCCAAGATCGGCATCGGCAACTGCCAAGATGGCTCGGCCGACGTCCCAAAACCCTGTCAAATGCATTCGAGGAGCCCGCTCCAGCTGTAGTCCGCAGCCCTACTTGAGATCCCGCCTGGGCCGTTGCAAGGTTCTTATTCGTGTCCTGCTGCATGAGCTTGCTTTTTGCAGTCTTGCGTCAAAGGAGTTGGGCCTTTCCGAACGCCTAATACTACCCTACGCCGCAGACCGTCGTATCGGTGGCCATTCCCGTGCGGTGTCCGATTCAATCAGCGGCTGAACGGGGCAACGTCCGGCATCATGGCGCCGCGAAGAAGTCATGCCGTTTCTAGCAGCAGGAACGCAAGTGGTTTGTACCCGTATCTGGCCGTTCCTGACACAGTCCGTCGGAGACGATGGTCAGGCTGACCCATTTAGAATACGTGACAGGATGATCGTCTTGGAAATAAGAACAAACATATAATTATTGATTGAGTAACTATTGATTGAGTACTACCCGTATTCATAGAAAATACTTTAGCAGCCGCATCCACACTTCTTGCAGCCGCCTCCTGAGCATGGGTCACTCGGAGAGCAATCTTCATCTCTTCCACAGCTCTTCCATGCACCGAGTGGGCTACCGACCGTGGTCCAGCACCAAGAGCCCTGTCCACCATTGTCACACGACCTGTAGCACCAATGTTGCCGGGAGCAGCCAGAGGGAGGGCCGTACCAGCACTTGCGCTTCTCCAGCGTCAAGGCCTCCGTCTCGAGGGATGACGGATGCTCTTTGCAAGCGCGCACAGTGTAGGGATCCATGCCAACAGGCACTTCCATGACCCCAAGGTCGCCACAAAGTGCCGCGGCCTCGGTGTGCGTGACATCTCCGCGAGTCAATCCGTTCACGTGCGCCATGTCGACGGCAGAAAGCGCAGTTGCCAGTGACGCGGCCTGGAGAAGAATAGCAATTGTCGACCTCATGCTGAGACTAGAAGTAACAATACTAGGCGGTGATCTTGTGTAGTTTTAGATCCGATTGGTCTGGAAGACAGAAGAAGCCCTGGAATGTGCGGGAACAGAAACGATTGAGAAGTGAACAAGTATGGCCTTTTTATATCCATCACGACACATCACCAAGGCGCTGCTTCAAATTTTCCGCTCGACAAACTCTTCTATTCCTGATTTTCCCTTGGTTCGCGCCGTGGCTACGACACTAGCCAGCCACGCAGGAGGTTGGGCGTGAGTTGCACCACTTCTCCAGCCAACGATCCTTCCGGCTGCAACGACCGTGAAAAAGTCCCTGTGTGTTGCAGCCAATGCAGTCAGCATCAGCTTTCATGGCTCATCTTTGTCCAGAGAACTGTCGTTGAGGAATGACCGGCTCCGAATTGACGGCATCTCGTAGCAACCACGAAGCCACCGGAGTACCCCGTACTATTGCGTGATATACTCCGTAGAGGAGAGCACTTTTGTCCCAAGGACCATCGGCAAGCCAAAGATACAGACGGACAACAAGTTCTAGGCTCATCTGGAAAGCCACAAGTGGGCTAAGAGGAGGCAATATACCCAAGGCAAGAAGGCTCCAGGATTGTCGGAGAAGGAGCCGGTCCCGACCGGGGCTGCATGCCTCAGAGTTTTTGGTCAAGGAAATTGGTGGCAATGATCCTTAACTACTCCTTCATCACCCCAGAACGGTAACATGGACCGCTCGCAAGTCATGAAGTACTGCGGACACAGCCCCCAACTCCTGGTTGCTGATACAGACTCGGAACGGCCTCGCCGCTGGCAGACAAAAGGGCTTTGCAGGAATTCCTCACCCAATCTGCGAAATATGTGGATCCCGTTTTAACCGAATATCGATAATTCTCCCTACGATCCGCAAATTTGCCCTATATTAGAATAGTGCGCCTATACGTCGTACGTCGCTCAAGTTTGTTGCCCGCCACAATTGGACGGGCGTGAGGGACGACTCTCCAACCCGAACAGAAGCCCGAAATTTGCAGACTAGTTACGATTCAATGATTACGTTACTTCCTCCTCCCTGACTCAACTTCTATACTCTATCGAAGCTTTGTCGTGTATGCCGGGTTTCCCCCAACGCCCGTATTCATGCTCGTCCCTCTGCGGGGGCTCATCCGACGGCAGCCCTACAAGATCCTCGTCGGCGTCTGCGTCGTCGTCTCGGGCATCTCTGTCCTCTCGCGTCTCTCTGCCAGCAAAGGGGACCTGCTCACTGTCGGTGCCAGTCACGATTCACCCGAGACGCACAAACTTTGTGCCGCGCATGGCTTCACCGTGTATCCCGCGGCGGCCAGCGGAACGCGACGCAAAATCTACGACCTTGCGATGGTGAATACGGAGCTTGACTGGCTTGAGATTCGTCTCCATACACTCTACGAGGAAGTCGACCTCTTCATTATTGTCGAGTCAGCCAAGACGTTTCATGGCCACGACAAGCCGCTGTTGGCGAAGCAGAATTGGGACCGCTTTGCCCGCTACCACGATAAGATGCTCTACCACGAGCTCGAGTTTCCCGGCGACTTTCATCCACAGCGCACATGGGACTTGGAGTCCTTTCAACGAGATGCTAGCTACGAACAAACCTTTCCTAAGCTCATCGGAACTGGCTCGCGCGCGCCACGTCTGGGTGACGTCTTGGTTGTTGCCGACGTAGATGAGATACCGCGTCCGGATACGCTACGAGTCCTCCGCGCATGCAATTTTCCACGCCGCCTCACCCTACTTTCACGCTTTTACTACTACTCGTTTCAATTTCTAAGCATTGGCCCTGAATGGCACCACCCGCAGGCCACGTACTACGACGGGCCGCGGACGCTCACGCCCAACAACCTGCGCGGTGGCCGCGGCGACAACTTCCTCTCCCGCTGGCGAGACTCGGGGAGATACGCCGACTCCGGCTGGCACTGTAGCAGCTGCTTTGATTCCATCGACCTGTATCTGAATAAGATGGAAAGCTTCTCGCACAAGTGGATGAATAGCGACCAATTTAGAAATCGCGATCGCATTGCGGACGCGGTCCGAGAGGGTATAGATATTTGGGGCCGCAAAGGAAACAAGTTTGAGCGCATACAGAACAATGAAGATCTTCCACCGCTGGTAAGAGAGGATGCGCGATTCTTGTATCTCAAGGATCGCAGCGGCAAGTCGGCTGGCATGAAAGACTATCCTTGAAAAGCACAAGTTGGAGTTATGGCGTTCAAAGGCATGATGAAATTTAAATCATTTAGAATACAAATAATGGATCGCCTTAGAGCAATGAACCTTCTCGCGCACAGGCACGGATTGACGCCCTTTTAAAGACGGAGCGGGTGAAATGCTCACTTGGTCAGCTTCGGGTCCATGAGCTTCTGCGAAGCGGACCATAGCTTAAGAAGCCCGCGTTGTACCAACCTTGCTAATCAAAAGCACTGCTCCTACATCTTCACCCAGCAAAACTCGTCCGAAATCAACAACTCCAAATCTACCAGACGTTCAAAACTCCAAATTACCCCATCAGCGCCGTCTCCCACCTGTAGATGCAAGGACCAAACACAATCTGTCTAGTCTGCTGTAATGTTGCTTTTCTCGTCTCCTCTCTCGTCTAGTTTTCGTTTTCCAGAGGACGGTGTCGGCATATCCACGTCTTCCATGTCCTCGCCGTGATCCGAATATTCAACAATCTCCCATTCTACCTGTACACGGCCATCCTGCGAGCGGTGGCCGCCGTATCTGCGACGAAGCTTCCCCAGCCTGGTGCCCTGAACGAGGTCCTCAAACCAGGGCACGCCAAACTGTTCTCGAAGGACGGTGGCGCCGGGCTCGGCGGGTTCCAGCCCGTCGCCATCGACCACGTGCTCCATGTCATCGTCCTGGGCCGCTTCGTCGGAGTCAGTATCGTCGGGTATCAGGCCGAGCGACTGCAGGTCGTGCAAGTCTTCGTGCACGAGACTGCCGAGGGTCAAGTGTATGTATTCGGCTTCGGTGGCCGGGCTCTCGGACCAGTACGACAGCTGCGTACCGCAGTAGCCGCAAAAGTAGCGCACGCTGTCCTGCTGGTCCGGGTGCGCATAGGAGCGTCGAATGGTCGAGTGTGTTTCGTCGTCGCGGTAGGCGTAGGTTGCGCTCCGGTACCAAGTCAAGGGGACTCGAATGTAGGCCGCCAGCGGGGTGGCGAGAGAAGCTTCTGGGCACCGTTGGTCAGCATCGATCTGGGGCACGGCGACGACGCGTCATCAAAATTAGGCGACGGATCATATTGTACGGCGTCTGGAATCATACGCCAGGATCCGACCGGTAGGTTGAACGTACGATGAGAAGTGTTGGTATTGAAGAGAACCTGCGCTTCCTCGAGGGCGTCCTCGGGCACCTCGATCAAGTAGCGATTGCGGCCGCATTGGCAGGCACCGCGCAGCGGGCGCAAGGAGCTCATGGTCGTATGCGGTCGATGCGGAAGACGCCGGGAAATGCAATTGGCGATGGATGATGAAAAGGTGTGGTTTTGTTGATTGATAGTTGAAGAAGCGCTACGTCAGCCAAGTGGCGTGTTTGGGGGAAAATGAGGGGCAATGTGCTGCCCACTGAAGCTCCATCAGCACCAACTATTGAAGCTTGGTCAACGAAAGTGGAGGAGACTCGGAAGATTCGGATGCGATGAAAGGGGAATAGAAGGATGGTGTATATTTGGATGGATTTTTGAAGATTGATTTATTGATTCTGCTCGAGTGTCACAGAGGTAGCGCATGCAATACAAGCAATCGCCATATGCCCTAAATTGGCCTGCGCAACGTGAAACGGGGGTTTTCGTACCACACAATACCTTGATATTGGCTATGTACGGAGTACCAGGCCTAGTAAGCCACCAGACATGGTTCAACGGGCCTTTGTTGATGAATTGTGCTTTTCCTACAACACTAGAGGTAGCCTGGCGATATCGTATACGCTGGCAACGCCGTGAACCCTACAAGGGGAGGCCAGTGTGCCCTAGGTATAAGTGAAAGTCAGACGGAAGGGCGAGAGGACAAAACAACATTTTTCTTTGGTCATTCATTGTCTTTGACATAACTACCAGTCATGCCCGTGGACTGACTGTCAAAACCTTGGATTCTGAACCAGAAGCTGGGGCAAGGCCAACAACTGGGGGAAGCGAGCTGATTACTACCTGTACCTGTTAACTATGTACCAGTAATAGCCACTAAAAAGACAGGGAGGACGGAGTGTCAAAACGACCACTGAGACCGCTGAAGAGCACCAGCTCCCCGCTGTATCCGCTTTATCCCGCCGACCCCCGGCGCCTGGAAGGTCTCCTCCCCCCCTCCCCCGGCTGCGGTTCCCCGTCGTTGGCTTCTCGGTCCAGTAACAAGACTCGCACGGCATCTCATCTCAACGCTCAGCTCTCCACTTCCGACCAGAGCCGAAGCTGGTGGGAGACCTTGGTTGCTTGGGTCACGAATCTCCGGTCGGCCGGGGCTTATACCATCTCAGACCCTTGCCAAGTTCTTCGGTCGCTCTCTCTCCCTTTACACACTCACGTCCTTTCACTGTCTATACTCACCCTGTCTCGTCACTTCCACGAACAGCGGCTGCGTCATCCCCCGACTCCTCGTCAGCATGTCGGGCCCTCCGTCGCGCATCCGGTCCATCCTCAACCATCTACTCCCGGGCGCCGCCTCGCCCCCGGCGCACATTCACCACCTCTCGCCGACTTTTTTTCTGGAGCGCGCCGCGTCCATTGAGCCCGATGCCGAGGCCGTCGTCCATATAACCGCCAACGGCGTCGGCCTCCGCCGCTCGTACCAGCAGACAGCGGATCGCGCCCGCGGCCTGGCCTACTACCTCAAGAAGCGCGGCCTGAAGCGCGTCGGCATCCTCGCCCCCAACACGCCCGCGTTTTTGGAGTCGCTGTATGGCATCGTCGCGGCCGGCGGCGTCATTGTGCCCGTCAACTACCGCCTCAAGCCCGATGACATTGCCTATATTCTAGAGTTTGCCGAGGTCGACTCCATCATTGTGGATGACGAGTTTGCCGAGCTGCTGAGTAGCTACAGATCAAAGCACAGCAAAGTGCCTATTATTGTGGATAATGTAAGAGGGTTATCGTCTGAAATTGTGCATGGCCAAGATATTGACCAGCACTACAGGATACAGATGTTGTGAGCGGCCCGCAAGCAGGTCAATACAACCAAGCTGTCATAGAGGGCCTTGCCTATGATGCCGAACAAGGTAGCAAAGGCTGGTCCGGTCTTCACGCACACGCAGAGAACGAGGATGACATGCTCGCCATCCCCTTCACCTCTGGAACGACGTCCAAACCCAAAGGCGTCGTCTACACCCACCGAGGTGCCTACCTTGCCGCCGTCGCAAACATCATCGAGTCTGGTCTCAACCAAGGGCGCTGTAAATATCTGTGGACGTTGCCCATGTGAGTTGGCCTTGATCATTCGAGATGGCGTGGCTCAGTACTGACCAAGTCTAGGTTCCACGCCTGTGGATGGACGTTTCCCTGGTCCATTGTCGCCGTACGCGGTGTCAACGTGTGCCTGCGCAAGATTGATTATCCCACCATCTGGCGCCTCCTCAAGGAGGAAGGCGTCACTCACTTTAACGCCGCCCCGACAGTCAACACGTTGCTAGTTGCTGCCAAGGAAGCTTCCAAGCTCCCACATCCAGTTCAAGTGACCGTCGCTGCCAGTCCACCCACTGGTCACTTATTTGAGCAAATGGTGGGTTGATGCTAGAGATGCGCAACTGTTGCTTGCACGACTGACCAGAAACGTGTAGACCAAGCTCAACCTCATGCCTGTGCACGTGTACGGCATGACGGGTAAGTCTCACAAGCCTCTCCCATTTCGGCACGACTCGCTGACACGGTGAAGAAACATATGGTCCCATCACCAAGTGCTATACAATGCCTGAGTGGGATACTCTCCCGCCCGCGGAAAAATACGCCAAGATGGCGCGCCAGGGCCACGGCTTCATCACCAGCCTGCCGATCCGCATCATCAAGCAGGACCAGCCCGATGGAGTGCTCATCGACGTGGCCAAAAACGGCAAGGAGATTGGCGAGATTGTCTTTTTCGGCAACATTTGCGCCAAGGAGTACTACAAGGACGCGGCCGCCACGCGGACGCTGTTTGCTGGGGGCGCGCTGCACTCGGGCGACCTCGCCGTGTGGCACCCCGACGGCAGCGCGCAGATCCTGGACCGGGCCAAGGACATCATCATCTCGGGCGGCGAGAACATTTCGTCGGTGGCGCTCGAGAGCATGCTGGTGCAGCACCCGGACGTGCTCGAGTGCGGCGTCGTGGCGGTGCCGAGCGAGCAATGGGGCGAGGTACCCAAGGCGTACGTGACAGTCAAGGAGGGAAAGGCTCTGCAGGGCGCGGACCTTATTGCGTGGGCTCGAGGGAATAGCGCTATCAGCCGGTTCATGGTGCCCAAGGAAGTCGAGGTGGTGCCGGACCTGCCAAAGACGAGCACGGGCAAGATTAAGAAGAATGATTTGCGCGATTGGGCCAAGAATGGTCGCAAGTCTGTGTAGAGGGAGGAGTGGTTGTTAGGGCTTGGGTCTGCTACTGAATTGCGATGAATCTTGGTAATGGAGCGAGACTGAAATATATGAAATACATGACCATCTTTTTTTGCTTTCTGCTTGTGATGATTAGACTTTTTTTTCATCTCTTCTTTATTAATAGGTAATTCGGGCAGGTGTTTCTGGTATGCCTGGCTGGAGAGCGCGCCCAGGAAGCATCCCAAACAGCCTTTTTTAGCATTGTAATATTTAGTGCATTATAGCGCGTCAGACCCTGCGTCCAGCGTGCCAGGCTAGCCCAAGTATAGCGGCCGACCTCTACCTGTAGTTTGGTAGGTGATTCGCCAGAGGGAGCTCATGGAGCTTCGTCTCGCTCCCTGTGTCTTGACCAGTCGGTAACAGGCGCCGTTTGGTTTGCCAATCCAAAATACAAAATAAAAAAAAATACAAAACTCGACAGCCCTATCTACCCAGACAAGTAAGTAGCTGCATTTCCGATACGCTGGCGCCTTACCGCCCTTGACTCGCCGTCCCCCCTCCCGCCTAGGACACGACTTATTCTGACGCAAGTCTGCGACAGCTGGCGCCAATCGTCCCAAGTCGCGTGCGTGTCGCCCACTCCCTCAGCGTCATTACGTCGGTCAACCTCGACAACACCTCTGCGGCTGCCTCCCTAACTAGCCTTGAACTCCTCCACACCACCGTTGCTTCTCTTTCTCTCTCGGTGGCAAGCGGTCTACCAGAAGCACCCATCGGCTTCCTCTGTGCTTCGATTACGACGACCTTGGCTGCCGTCCGCAGAGCGACTGTCTTGCCGCCTCCCTGCTCCCTCTGGCCAAACGCACGGCAAGAATGGCTTCTGCTAGCCCCGATACTGCAGCACTACCAAACGACCGGCCGGCTGCTGCGGCCAGAATCAACTCACACGATACGCCGCCGCCGAGCCGCAAGACGAGCGCCAGCACGCAGCTGCCGAAGCGCGCCCATACCTTTCAGAATGACGGCACCGTCCGCCCAGATGCGTTTGAGACATCACAGGACGCAGACGACCACGACGAGTCTGCCGACCATGGAAGAGGCTCCGTCGACCTCGACGAGCTGCCCATTGAGCTCGTCACCTTGACTGACAGGTAACAACTCCCTCTCGGGGTGACGAGCGACACGAACCTGCCACTAACCATGGGCGCTTCCCAGTTTCATCGAGTCGCTGAGCGCCAAGGTCCATTCGACGCCGCCCAGCATCACCAAGCTGTCCCAGCTCTTCCAAGACTTTTACGCCCTCTCCTCGTCCCACGTCCAAACCCACATCAGCGCGCTCGCCACTCGACAACAGCGCCGCGGGCCCTCGCCGAGCCCCTCGTCCTCGTCCTCCCTCTCCTCCGCGGCTAGCCGCCTCCGCGCCCGCACCGCGTCGTTCAAGGCCACCAAGGACAGCAGCAAGTCCAGGGAGGATGCGGAGCAGCAGCAAATGATCACCACAGAGGAGCTCGCCAACAGAAAAAAGGCGCGCAGGGCCCTCGAGGCCCAAAAGGGCCGCCTTGAAGAGGCAGTGGAGCGGCGTGTGTGCGAGGCCATCTACGGCCGGATATACCGCCACCGGAGCACACAAGACGAGGCGCAGGACGACAAGCTGCGGTCAAAAACGGCCGCGTTGGCCCTGGTGAATATTGGCCTGACGGACCTCGGCATCGATCTCGGCCAAAACGACGACAAGAGGGACGGAGGGACGACATTCCGCGACGAGGAGATTCGACAATATCTCGAGTCCGCGCGAAAAGAACTCATTGCTATGACCGACTCACACTACCCCCTCGGAAAAATCAACCACCTCAAGGCCGTGCACAAGAGCATCGTCGATACCCTCTCCCACTTCCAGCCCTCCGCATCCGCCGACGAAATCATGCCCATGCTCATCTACACCCTCATCACGCTGGCTCCCGAGCACCTACACGCCATCAGCGACCTCCACTTCATGCAGTCATTTCGCTGGGAGCCTAAGCTCACCGGCGAGGCCGCCTACTGTCTGACCAACTTTGAAGCCGCCATCAGCTTCCTCGAGACGGTCGACCTGTCGACCCTCCGCGACGACGAGCACCCATCCGGCCCACCCAAGGGGTCCGCCGCCTCACCCGCCGCCGCCGCCGAAGCGACCAGGCCAGAGACCTTTCCGCCCGCCTACAACCAAGCCGGCGCCGCTTCCACCGAAGCCAGCCAAGAAACCGCCACCGCCGCCAGGCCGAGTGGCGGCGGGCTCACGGCCGCGGCGGTGCTGCGCAACCGGCGCCTCAGCGACCTCGTCAACACGCCCGCACAGGCCTTTGGCGCCGCCAGCGGCGCCGTCTTCAGCACCGCCGACCAGGGCCTCAAGACCATTTCCAGCAGCCTCGGCGAGAGCTACTCGTTCCTCGTCGGCAAGCTGCGCCAGCAGGCCGCCGCCGAACCCATTGCCGTGCCGCGCACCCTCGACGATGCCCGCAAGCTCGTCACCACCCCGCCCCTCGGCGACGACGACGACGACACGGCCAGTCTTGACAGCGCCACCACCGCCACTCCCACAGACGACGGCAGCACCAAGCCAGTCGTCCCCCCCACCGGTCGCCGCGACTCGGTCCTCGCACTCATCGGCGGCCGGCGCGAGCCCAGCGCCGACAGCACCCGCAGCCGCCGCAGCGCCAGCTCCCTAAAAAAAAGTCGAATTCGCAGAAGGAAAAGGCACGCCGCCGCCGCCGCCCACGACCGTGGCCGGCGCCGCGCAGCAGCAAGGTGCCGCCATGCTCGACCAGGTGCGCAACCTCGGCAGCAGCTTCAACCCCATGGCGCGCCTACCCAGCATGGGCTTTCGCGGGTTTGGCCGCCCCGCGGCTTCGACGCCGCCAGTAGTGGCAACCAAGGGCGAGGACGGCGGCGACTTGAGCGCAGTAAGCATCCCTCTCCCAAAACATGCACAGCACACAACATTGCAATGTGCACTTGCCATGGCACAACTAGACACGGTAGCTAATCCAAGTAAGCAGGCATTTCCAGACCTCGCGGCCGCCCTGCCGCCCAAGCAGATACCCCGGATCGCGCCCCCCAACAAGCGCTTCATGGAGATTAGCACCCCAGGCGAGCTGCGCCTCGGCGAGGTGCTGGATCTCCTGCGGGACTACCGGCGGTTGGCCGGGGCGTTGAAGAATCTAGACGCGTTTGAAGATTCGTAGTAATGTGTTGCATTTTCTCCTTTCTCCTTTCTGTTTTTATTTTTATTCTCTACATTTTCACATGTAGACAGACTATAGAAGATCGAGGCATCTTGTGTGTTACAGTTGGAACTACAGGGGCGTTAATTGTGTCTTCTTTATATTACAATGTCGGAGCTATCACCGTCAGAGATGGCAGTCTTTGTTGGTTCATTGTTTGCATCTTCACAAGCGGATTTTTATTTCTTCATATAAAAGAAATCAAATAATATTATAAAACTTGACATCTGTTCGGTATGTACTGCTGCTTATGGACAGGGTACTCTCTGAAAAGTCCCGAGTAAAGAAGAGCGCCCCATTTTCCTAAAACAAAATAAAAACAGAAAACACCAGCAGGTACCGTCTATAAACAATTCCGCAGGGGCGATGGCGCCGGGGGCGCGCCTGCAAAGACGCCGTTGCTATACATATGCTGAGCAATGAATAGAAGAACCAAATAACAAACAAGTCTAGAGTGAAATAAATATGTGCTGAATGGAAGAGAATCAGATGGCTATGGCCTCCAGGGAGTAGGGTGAGCCGCCGGTGCGGTGTCAGCGCGCATCGGCTGCATCGGCTGCATTCGCTTTGACGATGCACCACTGGGTAGCCGTTCAAGTTCCTCATCCGCCTCAGCTGGCGGTTCCGTCAAGGTGTGATTGCGCTCCAGAGCGAGCGCGCGAGACTCGGTGGACCGGCTTCGCTGCCGCGCAACATCACCATCGCGTTGGGCCACGGGGCCGGGGTGTAGAAACTTTGCAATGATGTTTGAATCCCTGCCTCTGCTTACGGTGCGTCCGCGCGCAACGCTCGGTAGTCTTTGAAGTCCAGTGGTCGTCGCTGACGGCGCTGTGTTCATACGGGCCAAGACTGCCTCCGCGTCTTCGGCCTCCTTCTTGAAACGAGCCTCGCTAGGGAGGAGCACGGCCTTATCTAGACCGTACGGCAGACCACGGTGACGGCCTCGGATCTGCAGAGCAGCGATGATGAGCTTGCCAACAACGGAGAACTGGCTGCATAGCGATGCGTTAACACCCACGGCACCCATGCTCAGTCCGACAGTACCGTAGGCACTGACGACTTCAAACAAGACCGAAAACACATCAAAGCGACCCGCCTGGATTTTTGAGCCCTCTGTGATACAGAGGATGAAAAAGCCCAAAAATACAAACCACAAATCGAAAGAAAGTTGTCGGCGTAAATGAGTACCGACATAGGACAGAGCACTCGCCTCCTGCTCCGCACCTTCATTGTGGTCGTAGACGCCGAGAGACTTTTCCTCGTATACGTTGGTTCGCCGAATCGAAATGGCAATGGGAAAGACGGAAATATACATCATAATCATGTATAGGACAGGCATGGCAGGGTGAAGATCACTCAAGTTGACAGCCGAAAACCCCGCAGTTCTCGTCGAAGCGGCCTGGAACAACCCGACAACGACTCTGTTGTGCAGGGGAAGTAGGCTAATGGGCTCCTTGCCCAAATCCAAAACCAGGAAGAAAAGCAAGTCAACTGCATTGAGCGAAATGAGAATCCAAAATAGCCACCAGTTCGGACCCGAAGGGAACAGAAGTGTGAAGCATCGACGTGGGTGGTCCAAAAGGAACTGGAGCTCTTCCCAAAGACCAGAGTGCCTGGGGACAATCTTTGTCAGAGTCCAAATGATGAATCGCAGCATGACGGGAAATCCGGTGTTTCCGAGAATGATGAGAAAACACGAAATCATCAAAACATACTCGGACCGGACAAAAGAAATCATGCTATCGGGTGTCAAGGTAAAGCCAACATCCATAAAGCTGACATTGGGTGTAAAGAAGCCCCACCACACTCTCGAGACGCCATCATCCTCGATGATTTTGCCGTATTTCTCGCTGTTCATAATGAAGGGCAACAGAGTTACAACGCCGAAAAGCTGGAAGCCCCAAAAGTACCCAAGAAGAACAAAAGCAAGGGTTCGCAAGGAGCGATATTCAATACCACCCAGTTCTTCACGCTGCTCAAGCGTGAGGCCAACGAAATTGGAGTTTCTGGCCATGGTTGGGGTGTAGCTGAGATACGGCATGTCGTCGATTTTGCTAGAATCGCGGTGTAGCGCTGATCGGATGCGTTCCAGAGTCCATGTACGTGTAGGCCTGGGAGGTTGGTCTTCGTCTTCTTCGTGGTGCGAGCTTTGTCCGCTTCTATTGAAGAGGCGGGGTTTTCTGAAACGGAAGGCATCAAGAGTCCCAGTCAATGCCTTGGCATCATCGGCTAACTCTCTTTGTCGTCGATCAGGCTCGGCAATGGTAATAGTTGGGTGGCGGCCGCGAAGGCCTTGATACGTCCCTTCGCCTTGGGCCACTTTCGAGCCAGGATTACTGACTAGGCGAGATATTTGAGGACCAAGAGCTTCGTCACGCTCGAATTCCTCCAAGCGAGTGGGTACCTGTCCGCGCTCGATATCCCGAGGGCCGGGAATGCGAAGGACATCGTTGTCGTCTTCGTTGCGCTGGCGCTCTAGGATGGCTATGTGCTGGAGATTTGGACGTCTCTGAGCAAATTCGGTGGCATCTTCCTCCAGGCCATCACTTCGCTTGACAGTGTCAGCGAAAGTAATAGCAGTGGCGCCATGCACGTGTTCTCCTGCGCTATCGGCACGAGCACGCATTCCAGCAACCGGTGTTGCAGTGCCATGAGTTGAGGGCATACCATCGTCACTATCGCGGGTATGTTGGGAGTGGCCTGGCGTAGTGGCAGATGGGCTATCTGTTGCGGTCGTGGTGGTATCACTGTCCTCGTTGACGCGGCGGGGTAGGTCAGCAGGTGCAGTGGCGGAGCTGTCAAGAAGAATGCCGTCGTTTGTCATACGCTGAGCCTTTCCGTTGGGGGGAACCACTGTAATGTGACGTCCATTGACACCTTGCTCAGCCCTGTGCGTCTCGTCGACAGCTTGGGATTTTGACTTGGTCAAGTTGGGACGTCGACTGCGGACCTCACGCACCCAGCCTTGAAAGCGCTTTTCAAACCAGTATATGCGCAGGAAAACGACGGAGCCATGAAGGGTAATTGGGTTGGACAGCATGACAAGGACGTAAATGACGGTCTGTTGGAAAGTGGTAAGAAGATTCACGTCGACCGGATTCAGACCGGCTTGTGTGTTTGCGCCACTGGCAAAAAGTAGAGCGTCGATATAAGCTAAATGGCCTGTGCCACCAATGTAGAGGCAAATAGAGCCTACTATTGTCGCACCAACGATCCAAAAGTAGTGTGCGGTGATGAAGTTGAAATGAGGGTTCTTGGACACAAAGGCCGGCTTGATAGCCTTGAGCTGTGCCCAGGCAGCACGGCGAAAATTGTCCAGCATGTTGGTGGTTGGGAGTGTAGTTGAGTATTCGATATGGAAATATTAAGCAGAACGATTTCGGCCAGGAAGGTAGTGTTGGCCGGGTTCTGAGTTGAGTGAGGGAGGGTGAGGTTGCAAGTATCAGCAAAATTAAATCAAGGTCCAGTCGAGGGACAAGAAAGTTTGGGTAGGGGTAAAAATCATGGTTGATATGGGGATATAAAGTAGGAAGACGCAGGCAATGGCGCAGGAATGGCTGCGTCTTGGAGAGTGACGTTTGCAGGCTTGGCTGTGACAGGTACAAAACTGGTCGCTCTGTCGACGAGCGGGCGAGGACGAGGAGTTTAAATAGAGCGAGCTACAAAGACGGACGCCACCAAAGCACAAGAGCAAATGATTGAAGTGTAGTGAGATTGCCGAGGCGGTGGTGTTGATGTTAGGCGGTCCTCAGTTCTGTCCTTTGTTGAGGGTGTCGCGCTTGCCCGTTGGAAAAAAAAGGAACCTTGTAGGGCAGGCGAGAATGGATTGTCGAATAGACGTCTTGCAAAGCCGGCACGTTTTCCGGGAGTGGTAACACAAGGGGTTGCTGCAGGTATATGCCAGGATGTTGCGCCAGAGGGTGAGTGGTAATTAAGCTCGAGTCCTAGGTGAGGCGGGAAAGGGGGAAATCGGAGTAGTATGGAGTATGGTGCGCGCGCGGGCAAGGAATGGTCGAGGATTGTCGGAATTGCGCAACACTACTAACGATAAGGAAACGTTCGGCGACTGGTAGCAAGGCAGGCAGGCGGTGCAGACGCTCAGGTTCCGGTTGTGTCGCACTTTCAGAGCTGGGGCGCGCGCGGGTTCTGGCAGGGCGCGGTCTCGGGCTGGAGTCGTCGGCCGATGGTGGTGAATTGGGAGACGAGGCTCTGGGTAGCAGTCTCAGGAACTAGCAAGAGAGGACGAGATAAAAATAAACAGGCGTATGAGACAAAGCGTTGGCGTGCCTGCGTCCGTGGACCGGAGGACGGACTGGACGACAGTGCAGTGAATGACCCGGCGTGTCTGGAGTAAGGATAGCGATATGCGGAATATGGCCAAGGCTGCGGCGCGGCGCGGCAGGTGGTACGATGGGCTCTGTTTGCAGGGCGCGGCGGGCGCACAAAGGGTCCAAAGTCCAGGCTCTGCGACCAGTCGCGATGGAGTCGAGATGGAAGCCGTCGCACACGCCGGGTGCGAGATGGGGAGACGCCGAAGCCTCCAGAGAAGGTTGCGTCTCTGTTGGATCTGGGCTGAACTCGTGGACGGCGACTGGCGCAGAGGCGGTAGCGGAGCCGATGCACAAGCAGGGTGGGCGAGACAAGGTGAGACGAGTGGAACAAGAAGAGGAAAAGAATGATTCGACAGGTGGAATATAGGTGAGAGCAGTAGATACGGCTAGCCACCGCAGCAGCTTTGGAGCCGGCCGAGCCGATGTGCGAATGGAGAAAGATGAAAGATGGAAGATGAGGCAGCGTTTGCACGAATCGTGGTGGCGGTACGCAAATGAAGAAGAACAAGCTTTCCAACGGATAACGGATGGAGTATCGGTTACCTGCTTGGAGGTACATACCAGTACTGAGTTAGTGACTAGTATTACTGGTAGGGCAGTGTAGTGATGCACTTTGCCTCCAAACAGTTAGCCCCGTCTGCCCAAGCCACAACCACCCGGGGTTCTGGACCGGTGCACTGGAGAATGAAACCTCAACTGCTGGCTTCCGCCCCGACCGCTTGGGTCCATGTCTTGCGTCCAATCACTAGGTAGTTAACTACCCGGTTCAAAACATGGATGAGAAAGATCAGATTAACAATTAATACGGCGTACACGAATATCAGAATACGAGCAAAACACACAGCGCACTACGCAGACCTTCTGCCTTCTGTAGCGCCATTCTCGTGACGCGCTGTTTGTGGCTGCGCCGGCTCTTTCAGCGCGTGGCGCTCCTGGCGTTCGTTAGATCATCGCATTCCACGGCCCTATTGCTGGTTCCCTCTGAAGAAGCGGCGTTTGCCCGTTATCATTTAGTGAATTAGCCCACCCCATTTAATCGCTCATCAGTAACAGTAAAGTTCGCAACGGCACCGGGGGTAAACATTTTTTTTTTTCTCATATTAGTTATTAGCAGGGTTGCCTCCCTCTACTAATCCGTCCCCGGTAATTGGCAGAGAATCACGTCGCGCACACCGGAGGGTGGTGTGGTTGGCTGCCCTGTCATGGCAGCTGAATTCAATACCACGCACCCATCCCATCACACACACCTCTCAGGCTGCCCACCCGTTTCGTCGATCTTTTTTGCACTCCCAAACTCCCGGGTCAAAGGGAAGAAGCAAGAAAAAATTTCATGAAATAGGAATCCTTGCTCATACTACCGAGGTCTATTTCTGGCCTGATTCTCTTCCCCGCCACAGCAACGTCAATCTTACCCGGGTCACTGGTCCGGCTGGCCCGTCCAAGCCGCAATGCCCAACATCAGATAACTTGAGAGCCAACAGATGGCTCAAAATCAGACGACGCCCAACCCGAGAAAAATGCCGTGATCCTGGGGATTGGATGATGCACACGTACAACGTGACAACCATCGCAGCCTCGCTCTCGTCACATTGCGCCATGCCGCGCCTTGCGCAACACCCACCACCACCACCTTGAGCTATAACCCGCCCAACCTATTACATGGAAGCAAGCACACCGTATGCATGGAAGCCTGCACGTCTGGTGAGCAGGCAGCGAGTCGGCAGACCATTCTTACACGGCAGTCAAGAAGCACGAATCTAGCCGAGGCTATGACAACCACTTCTCTCGGGGCGTCTCTCTCAAGACATCAACTTCACTCGGATCATGTTTTTGCTTGGAGGCTAATCAAGGGAGCACTGTATTTGGGCGAATTCAATAATGACCCATTATATGTATCATGCCTCCCTGCCAGAGAGTCATCAGGACTCTCGAGCCCATTCTTGGCCGCTAACCGTGGCTGAGCCCGCCGCACCATCGCAATTGCTCTTCTTATTCTGCCCTTCCTATCTTGGCATTAAATCTGCAGGCGCGCTAGCCCTACTGCTCCATCGGTCCAATCGACGCTAGATTCGCAGAGCCGCCTCCTCCCCGTCGCATCCAACCCTGCCAGCGCACTCACCTCACACAGATTGTCCAGCCTGTCCAGCCTGTCATGCGGTCTCCTCCGCAGAGCAACGTCATTGTGCGTTTCGAGGCGGATTCAAACACCCAGCTACGTGGTGTGCCATGGCGTCCACCACATTGTTCTTCGTGTGTTTGTCACCTTGTCGTGTATTGCGCAGCTGGCACTGCTAAGGCTGGTCACACGGCAAGTATGATATGTGTGGCGCCGGACGTGGCTGTCTCACACAACTAGCGGTTTCCAACTTACTTGGGTTGCAGAAAGTTCAGTCCTATTTTGGACCCTGAAAAGAAGGAAAGATCAGAAACAAAGCGAACAAAACCTGGCATGCATCATCATCATGCTGCACCTGCAGCTAATACATTGCGTGCATATCGTGTCCGCTCTACAGAGGTGCGTGCACTTGAAAGTGAGACTTCATCAGTGCGAATCCACTGTATACCTTCTCGGGCACCTACTCAGGCACGAAGACGTCGCGAGTTCTGCAAATGCAACCCAACCGGAATCAACTTTTATTTTATTTGTGTTTCTTTTTTTAAAATCCCATTTCTAGTTTTCAATTCGCTCGTAAATGTTGGGTATATAATGTCTCGCTTACTTTCAAGCCTCAAGAGTCCCATGCCAGAGAGTCCAAAGCAGATTATATGTTAAGCATCTGGTTGTTACCCAGTCGCAACCGCCTCATGGTCTAGTCCAATCCTTATAACAAGCAAACCGTAGCAAAAACGCCAAATGCAAGAATCAATTACCCCCAGCAGTCCATTTCCCCGCGCGCTCGGCATGTCTGCCTCATTCGCCTGTCGCACGGCGGGCATTCTCTCTGCCAATCTTCTTGAAAAACGAATGGCTCTCCTTCTTGCCCTTCTTTTTGAGACCCTGATTGACCTTTTTATTCTGTTCAATGTAAGCCATATCTTGGCCACCGCTGAGCTCACCCAGCGTGCCAGCGGTTCGCCGAACCCTCTTCTTGGCCCGACCCATGCTGCCGCTGTGGAACAAGTCATCCGTGATGTCTTCGTCATCTGGTCCCTCGTTCTCAACCAACACTTTCTGCAGCAACTCTCGGCGCTCTGCTGCCGTCGCAAACGCCAGTCCGGGCGTCTGCTCAATGTTGGCCAGTTGTGTAATGACCTTGAACGCATAGCCCTGATCGACCAGGAACGCCTGTCTCTTTGACGAAAAGAACATTTCTTGTGTGTCTTTGGAGACCAGCGAATAAAAGAACGCGTTGAAACCCTCGTCGTTACGGCGTTTGGCCCGCAGAATTCGTCCCAGCCGCTGGGCCTCTTGACGTCGAGATCCGTAGTGTGACGAAATCTGAATAAGACATGTGGCCTCGGGCAAGTCGAGGGAGGTATCGCCAATCTTCGATAGGAAGAGTGTGTTCACCAGCGGATTATGTTGGAAGTTCTCTAACACTTTCAGCCGCTCTGCTTGACCTGTGCCTCCGTAAATAAAGGCTTTGCCCAGCTTGAGAGCATAGGCCTTGAGCGCATAGACATTATCAGAAAAAACAATGATCTTGTCTCCGCGAGACTCGTGATAGTTGATGAGGTATTGACAGGCCTGGAATTTCCGAGGGTTCATAATGTAAAGCAAATTCTTCTTGCGCGATGGCGCACGAAGATATTCATCGTAGAACTCAGTTGGCATCGCGCACCAGACCTCTGCGCACTGCACGCGAGCAATATGCCCTTGCTTGGAGAGTTCCATCCAGTTTGCTTCAAAAAGTTTAGGACCAATAAGAAAGTTGAGATCAGAGATCTTGTCATCTTCTCGTAATAAAGTGGCGGTCAAGCCTAGCTTAGAATGTGTCTTGATGGAGGAAGTTACTCTGCGAAAGATGTTTGCCGGCACGACGTGGACTTCGTCGAGTAACATGAGACCCCATTCTCTCCCAGTAAGGAATCTCATCATCTTTTCCGCATCGTAGGACCGTGCTCGCGACTGCGTTACCATCGAGTATGTGGTAACAATAACGCCAGTGCTGCCGGTAAAGACGGAGCCTTTGGAGTCTGACGTGAACGCCACGATATCATCGGGGTTAATGTTGGACCATTTCAAAAATTCGTTTCGCCACTGGACAACCGACATGGAGCTCGTGCAAAGCACAATTACACCCTTCTGGATGGTACATGCCGCTGTAATACCGACCAAAGTCTTTCCAGCACCACATGGCAGAACGATGAGACCACTCTTTGCTCTCCCGTTGCCGAACATCTTGCTCAAGCTCTTTTCTTGATACGGCCGAATTTGTGTACCAGGACGAAGATCGATATCAAGATTGGGGTTTGCTTCGTCGCGTCGAAAGTCGTATTCTTCTAGGACCGGATAACCGAGGTTGAGACACTCCTTTTGTACGGTTTCGACGTCCTTGTCGGCAATTTCAAAGGCATGAGTGACTTCTTGTTCATCGTCGTCGTCATCGTCCAGCCTTGATTTGCCTGCCTGCGTAGTCGGTTGCTGTTCGTTCTCGCCTGTCTGGAGCCCGTTCGCCTGCTTAACACCCGCAGCATTCTTAGTGCCAGGAATGACCAGGCCCCCGATCTTGGGTGCTGCTGTAGTTGTAATCTC